GAATAATGTAGAAATGTTCAGAACGAAGTGCCTATTAACCTGAGGAAATCTCATTATTTCGAGCGACCTCGACCCCTCAAAATGCGTTGAGAGGAGGACCCTGTGCCCTACTTTATAAAGTAGGGCACCTCCATGGTGTTTATTGATTTCCCCTGCTGTGAAGGGCGTGGGACCTTGTGATTGTGCATTTTAATCTTTGTTAAGCCTTACAGATTCTGCCTCCCGAAACAAGAGGCTTTCCGCCCGCGGCTTCGCCCGCGTGGAATTTTGTCTGTCACAGAAAAACTTTATCGCGCGCGTCCCTGTTTCAAAAACCGGGATAAAAACTATCCTATGTTCTTTCCCGGGACTCAAACTATCTCTATCTATCTCTATGCCAAATTTCATCAAAATCGGTTGCGAGGTTTAAGCGGGAAAGCGTAACAGACAGACAGACAGACAGACAGACAGACAGACAGACAGACAGAGTTACTTTCGCATTTATAATATTAGTTGGGATAAATTCAGTATCAGATCAGAACATGAAATCAATATTGGCACAATATTGGTCACTTGTTTTGGGCTGTTTATCTAAATAAGTTATTGCTACAAGTAAAAGGGAATTGGTATGATTCGAAGTGACGTCAATGGTTTTATCGGACACTCGAGTTCTGAAGAGGGTGATGATTAGACCAATACCTGGTACCTCATGGTGACCAAGTGACTATGACGCTGGCGTTGACACTGACCTATAAATGAAATCATTAACATTGACATGTAATGTAATAAGCAATGTGGCTTTGGAATTTTTCCATAGAGCCACATGCTTGATGTTTGCGTGACGCATATTTGTTTATTGAATTATTTCACCTTGACCATGGCGTACTTCTTTTGGTGACGACATTATTAAATGGAAATAGAAGAAAGAAAGGGGAAAAAATTAATTTGGTTTTTAGGACTACACAGCTTAGTTCGTTCGTTTCAGCCAAATGACGTCCACTGCTGGACAAAGGCCTCCCCCAAGGCTTTCCATAACGACCGGTCCTGCGCTGCCCGGCATCCAGGCTCTTCCCGCGACCTTCACCAGATCGTCGGTCCACCTAGTAGGAGGCCTGCCCACGCACGTCTTCCGGTACCGGCCCGTGGTTGCCACACGAGAACTTTCCTCTCGAGAACTTGCCTGCCACTTAGCTTAGTAAAATAATTAAATTAGTCGCTTTATAAAAATATTTACAATTTTAAATTGCAAAATCAGTGCTCTACCGCCATCTTGCTACGTCCTTGTCATTAATGCAGACGGCGCAATCTAAAAGATAACATTTCACGATCGATGTGAGGATGAGACAACGTTTTTAATACCAACAGTGCGCGGGCGCATGTTGCTCGTAGCTAAATGTCAAGCGCACGCGATAACGCATCGATCCGATGTGGGTCGCTGATCTAGATTGCGCAGTGCGCAGCACTTACGACGCATAATTATGCTATTTAATCTTGGATTATTTTGCTTTTAGGATTGAATTTGCTCATCATCCTGACTTGAGGATTCAGAATTTGTTTTTCGTAGGATCAACTGATAAAGACTTTTCGATGATAGAGCTCTTAGTATGTTACTGTATAGAGATTTTTAAGTAGATGGTAATGAAACCTGTCCCGATTCGTATTTGACCTACTATGGTACAAGAAATAATTGAGCATTTTAGCATTATTACAATCTATCAAACGATGTCTGTCTATGTTATCAATTCGTCGCACTCAGTCACGTGATTACTTTTCTATCCATAACTCTTGGTTCATACGTTGACTTGGACTTTAAATGATTATAAAGTACCTACAATCTTTAAAACTATCTTGTTAATTGATTATCCAGTCTTTAAGCAGCCGCTTCCGTAATGAGACAAAAGTGATTTGAACAGATTGTGGGAGTGGATTTTATGATTAGTTCTCAAGAATCAAATTACTGAGCTGACAAATGCCGAGCCGCTCCCCTGACCTGCGCCTGGGCATACTTAATTACCCGTAATGGTATTAAACGTCGGATTTGCGGTTCATCTAGGGTTGCCAGGTCCAAAGACAGAAAAGCCGGACTCTGTGCTTTATTTGGCCGGACATTTTACCCTAAAAGCCGGACATGTGACTNCATGTTCATGTTCGATTTATGTTTGTTTAGTTTGCCCCTTAGCTTCGTAAAATAATTAAAGGGAATCAGGTATATTTTAAAGTAAAAATGCGAAATAATTTCAACAGACGTGTGTACTGATCGAATCCAACGGACAGAGAGTAAAACAAAAGAATGCCATATGATTTTTCACTGTCACAATATCCATATAGGTTTCATATCTCGCGATCGCGAACATGCCCCCGCGCGTTGAAGGCTCGTCCTTCAACCGAAACATCTTCTTCTGGGAGCAACGGAACAATTTTAAATTGCAAAATCAGTGTTCTACCGCCATCTTGCTACGTCCTTGTCATTAATGCAGACGGCGCAATCTAAAAGATAACATTTTACGATCGATGTGAGGATGAGACAACGTTTTTAATACCAACAGTGCGCGGGCGCATGTTGCTCGTAGCTAAATGTCAAGCGCACGCGATAACGCATCGATCCGATGTGGGTCGCAGATCTAGATTGCGCAGTGCGCAGCACTTACGCATAATTATGCTATTTAATCTTGGATTATTTTGCTTTTAGGATCGAATTTGCTCATCATCCTGACTTGGAATCAGATATGGTGGTTTGTTTTTCGTAGGCTCAACTGATAAAGACTTTTTGATGATAGAGTTCTGCCACTCTCTGTATGTCAGGGTATATGTATAAGTAGAGCTTGGACCTGAAACCTATTCCCTTATAAACTAGTTATTTTTAGATGGCAACGAAACTTACAATTAGTACCGATCTGATAGTATTTAACCAACTATGGAATAAGAAACAGCTGAGCATTATCACAATCGTATCAAATAGTAAGTAAGTATGATTGTATATTTTATCAATTCGTCTCAGTCACGTGCTTACTTTTCTATCCATAACTCTTGATTCATACGTTGACTTGTCCTTTGGATGATTATTACGTATAATCTTTAAAACTATCTTGTTAATTGATTATCCAGTCTTTAAGCAGCCGCTTCCGTAATGAGACAAAAGTGATTTGAACAGATTGTGGGAGTGGATTTTATGATTAGTTCTCAAGAATCAAATTACTGATCTGACAAATGCCGAGCCGCTCCCCTGACCTGCGCCTGGGCATACTTAATTACCCTTAATGGTATTAAACGTCGGAATTTCGGTTCATCTAGGGTTGCCAGGTCCAAAAACAGAAAAGCCGGACTCTGTGCTTTTTTTGGCCGGACATTTTACCCTAAAAGCCGGACATGTGACGCGGGGGGTGCAATTGTGCACGAGTGAGTACTATCATCATTGGTTGCCCAACATCCTGATGTGTGCGCTTCATATTATTCTGTGGCTCGACTTTCGCCTAGTGCAGCAGCCAAATAAAAAGCCTAACTAAAGCCTGACAGGCCGGACAAGACAATATTTGGCCGGACAAGACCGTAAAAAGCCACCTGGCAACCCTAGGTTCACCTTTAGCTGGCATTTCGGATTAGGCCGCGGTCTCGCGCAGACTTGACTTCTCACGCGCATTGGACAGACGAGATAATTTGCACGGTGCATTTGTGATTTAGAACACTTACAAATTGTGTCTAAGTAACACATTATAGAGCTATAGCAACAAAGATACTAAAGGTTTAACGCTTAACTTAGTGTAAGGTGTTTTTGAGACGTCTAATGTTACTGACGCGAGAAAAACGCTAGAATTGTAACTTCAAATTTGTATTTACAAATCGAGATCAAAACCACAGAATACGCGTAATTGTCGTAAGAAGTTGTGTTACTTCCCGGATAATATTGAAAAACTTTACGTAATAAACAAAAGTTAGTGCCCGCCAAGAATTTTGGCTGGCCGCCCAGGAGTGACAAAGAATCCCGCCGTACGTAACCGCAAGTATTTGCGGACAGCGGCGCTTGCGCAGCGATGAGTGCGCGCAGATTTACGCCCGCGCCGAAAAGTTTGATGGATGTGCTTACGTATAAGGATGGCACTGTGTGTGTGATTTTAGCGTGATTTAATAGCATAAGCGGCCCTGAAACGGTATTTGGGAACTGGTTGAGCTTAAAGACTAAATTGTAAGAATTTATTCGGTAGAAACAGATTCATTAAATTAGCCTATTTCAAATTAGGGCTCTACCTTTGCGGAAACTTTATCTTACCTTTTAAGCATAATAGCTTTAGCTGAGAAAATAAGATTTTTGAACATTACTTAAAACGATAGGACATTAGGTCAATTGAAACCTATAGAAAAGAAAATGTGGTACCTAGATGAAAAGTCTCAAAATTCGACACTCAAATTTTCTAGCATGAAGGTGTTTTTCAGCAATTAGGTTGGCAAAATGCCGTGAGCTCAAAACATTTCTAAATTCTTAGTAAATTATTCAGTTGTGTAGGTACCGCGGGCGCCGGCGCTGCCGCCTAATTGCGCGCGCGCAATGAAAGCGCAGATTTATGCGCCGCTTAGAACTGCCCATAAAGCGGTTTACACCTCGCTTTGTGCGTTAATTATTCACACACCATGTAAATAAGCCATTGTTCACGCAGATACATCAGATCCTACATGCTAACTAATATAACAGGATCGTTATTAGTTTAATGGCGGAGATTAAACCCGTGTCTACATAGTTTATTTCGCTCTGGCGCTTGTAAATGGCATGCACTTTGTTAAATTCTAATCAGAGCGCTGTTGTTTCCCCGTTGTAAGCTCGCGGCCGGTGCGCGAACACGGCTCGCGTGTTTTATGCAAACGGGCGAATTGCGACTAATTCGCGTTCGCGTCTAACGGTCCTGGAAGGTTTATGTTATCTTAATCTTTTGGTTTAATTGCTTTAATTAAACGCGAGGACTATCTTGACGCAGGAAGTCTTTCGTTAGAATTAACAGCATCGGCTAATCTGTTCTTTTCTATCTTTGCAGGGGCAAATTCGCGTCAGTCCGCAAACTGCGCCACCTGGTGACAGGCGAGGAGTATGCAGCCAAGTTCATCCGCAAGCGGCGGCGCGCTGCGGACACCACACGCGAAATCCTCCACGAGGTGGCTGTGCTAGCACTCTGCGCGGATTGCACGCGCGTTGTCAGACTTCATGAGGTGAGTACTACATGGATAAATCGGATTGACTCATTCTTTACAAAGAATGGCTTGATCTTCAGACTCCCGCAGACTTTTGTTAGCTTTGCCAATACTGTTCCTTTATAAAAATATTCCTGTGCCAAGTTCTTCACATCGCGAATTGGGACATATCCTGTAGACTCTCCAGCAGTTGTCAACTTGCCAAAATCGATTGCGTAAACTGTTCCCTTTGTTTAACAAGAACAAATAGGTACTTACCCCACCAAAACGTTTTCCAGGTATACGTTACCCGATCAGAAGTGGCCATCGTACTAGAGTTATGCGCGGGCGGCGAGCTGCAGCGCCTATTGGACGAAGAGGAGAGGCTTTCAGAAGGCGCAGCACGACGCGCGCTCAGACACGCGCTCGAAGGGCTCGCGCACTTGCACGCGCGGCGCGTCGCGCACCTCGACCTGAAGCCACAGAACCTGCTGCTCACAGCGTCGGGCGAAGAGCTGCTTATTTGCGACTTCGGCATCAGCAGAGCGATACAGCCAGGGGCGCACGTCAGAGAAATACTTGGCACTAGAGATTATGTCGGTGAGTTTTCGTAAAGTAGGATGTTGAAATGATCTTTGTTTACACTCTGCTGCATCAGTGCAGAGGATTTAATCCTGAAGTTGTGTGCGGAAGTTTCGTTCTGAACCTAAAAGAGAAGAGTGAGGAAGAGAGCTCCTAGGTTATTGATGACCTCAGATTCACGCCTTGAGGTTTCCTATTACACTAGTTGCTGGTAACCTCAATTTTTGAGAAGACAAGGAGAAGGCCTGGAACAGGCCAAAAGAAACCTTCAAAACCTCGTTGTGAATAAAAGAGAATATAGTATTAAAAACAATCAAACTAGGTAATATTGTAGTATGGGTAGTAGAAACTTTGAACACTTTTGGAAGAGTAATCAAGAACCAATAATGGTTGGTGTCTTTAGCGCGATTTATTAGCTGACTTTGTACTTGTCAATTCCAGCACCCGAAATCCTTTCCTACGAGCCGCTATCCCTAGCGGCCGACATCTGGTCGGTGGGCGTGCTGGCGTACGTGCTGCTAAGCGGCTACTCGCCCTTCGCCGGCGACACCAAGCAAGAGACCTACCTCAACATCGCGCAGTGCACGCTCAGCTTCCCGCGCGAGCTGTTCCGCGGCGTGTCGCAGCGCGCCATCGAGTTCATCAGGGAGACCCTCGTCGTCGATCCAAAGTGAGTATATCCGGCTCGGAGGACCATGACTCGCCCTTCGCCGGCGACACCAAGCAGGAGACCTTTTTATTATTTTTTTTCGTGGAAAAAATGCATTGAATTGTATACCTACCCTGCGGGGACATGGTAGGTTATGTGGGGCTCACCAAGTCAGAAGGACAAAGGCATACCCACTAAAAAGACCCTGGTCCTCCGTCCTTCAACATCGCGCAGTGCACACTTAGCTTGTGAAACCACTTCCCTCATCGCCGATTCAAAGTGTATCCGGCTCAAAGGACCATATTTAGATACTTTATGGATATCTTTTAATACTCCTTAGATAATTTGCTAATGAGCGGTTTGAAGAAAACCCTTGCCTTTAATCCAATTATCTACCTACCAATTTACTTTATTCTTCTAACAAATGATAGCCTGCATAAGTTTTATACCCTGAGATTTTATAAACACAAATCTGCCAATTATAAACCTTGTGTTATTAAATATTGGAGCTGGCAGATATAGGAACGATGTAATTTAGGAGCCTTCTTTAATTGGATTATAAATTATGAAATAATTGGGTTGCTCATTTTATTCCACTCATATTGTTACGTGTGAGTCCTCAATTCATTTCTGCCTTGCTATTTATTTGGAATGTTCATTTTATTCCTCTCGTTTTGTTACTTTTATGTACCTATATTTAAGATCAAATCACTGTACCATATTCTTGGAAATAAATGCCATATCTTTATGTCCTCAACTCGGCTCTACCTTATGTACAACATGGAATGCAATATTGCAGGGGTTCCGTAACTTATATGCAAGTAAATGTCTTTGTCTTTGACCACACAAAAAATTCCAGTCCAGATTATTTATTGGTCGTATCGAGCGGTCTGGAATGCATTCTCGCAGCGGTCGCAGGATTTTTAATACTTACTCGTAACTACACAGATGACCCGCTCCCCCCTTTAAAGGTCTTTGCGCTTCCCTTGGGGAACTCCTGTAATATTGACTATTAACTTTGCTAAAGTAAGCTGATTGTTAATACCATTCCATTGCCTTCAGGGGTCGTCTTACAGTGAAAGAGTACCTTTATGTAGAACTTGTACCTATGTTTAATGGTGCGTCCAGACTAGGCAAATTTGCTCGCGCGGCAAACTCAACATCCTGCTCACTCAAGAGCAGAGTGAGCAGGATGACCAACGCGAACGTGCCGCGCGAGCAAATTCGCCCAGTCTGGACGCACCATAAGACCAAATCATTGTGCCATATTCTTCAAAATAAAAATGCTATCATATCTTTATGTCCTCAACTCAGCTTTACCTTGTTTTAAGCTGATTTATTAATGTTACTGTTCTGTTCTCCAGGGGTCGTCTTACAGTGGAAGAGTGCCTGGAGCACCCCTGGTTGAAAGACGAGTCAGACATTCCCCGCGCAATCGTCGGCGTCGGCTTCCCCGAAACCGAGTGTGCGTCCGACACCGGCGACTCGGATGACGAGGACGGCTCCTGCAACGGGGTCAACGGGGTGAATGGGGTTAACGGGGTGAATGGGGTAAACGGGGTGAATGGGGTCAACGGGGTGAATGGGGTTAACGGGGTGAATGGGGTAAACGGGGTGAATGGACACAGCGGACACAATGGATGCAACGGCACTAACGGGACAAATGGGACGCATGATGAGAAAGGTGAGGATTTTTGTGATTGTAAGAACTTAGAATTGAACAGAAGTAGCAGAGTAATGTGAAAACTAAAGTGAGACAGTTTTGTTGAGAAAGGCTAAAAGAAAATTATTCCATGGACACAACTTTTTAATCAAGGTATTTTAAAAGATTACTTGTTGGCATACACTTGTGGTGTGACTCAACTTAATCCATAAAACTTGCGCTTGTTCTTTCTCTGTTATCTGTTAAATCCTCCAGCTAAACTAGATACGAGTATAAGCTTGTGTTAAGATTGAATTCGCTAAAATAGTCCAGCTGTCCAAGGGGATTGATATAACGACCCTCGAATTTTGACAGTTCAAATTCGTCATTGAGCTTATCGTCTCGAAATATGTGATTGATAATTCGACTAGGGTACTTACACGCGATTAATCTTAATTTTCATTAATTTCCAGACGCAGTGTCCTGCGGAGCGCGCGAGCTGCGAGCGTGCGCGGGCGCGCCAGCGTGCACGGTGTCGTGCGCGGTCACGTGCGCAGTCACGTGCGCGGGCGCGGGCAGCGACTGCGGCGAGCGCGACAAGCTGAAGCACGCGCGCGGCCGGTCGCCGCCCGAACCCGCGCCTTCCACGCCTAAGGTACTAAACACATTAATACGACCAATTCTAAAGCCCGGCCTGTGAGCACGTAGAAAAATGTTGGATTATAAAGCCTGGTCTGCGAGCACGTGCTCGCAGACCAGACTATAAAACATACTACAGACCTGGTGATAGTCAAATCCTTCTTTTAGCGAGGTTGATGTCCGTTTTCACCATCAATCCCTAATTTTTAATTGATCCCTATGAAACAAAATTCCTGGTGGTCAGAGGATTTTTGGTGTCTGCAAAAAATTGACCATAACTCACCGTAGATGTCGTATAAAGCGCCTTATGTACAGTGGGCCACAGTTCAAGCTACCCATTTCCGTTTTTGCTCTCGCTCTCATCAAATGGTGATTCTTTGCGATTGAAGGAGACGACATGACTGGAAATGGATAGCTGGAACTGTGGCCTATAGTACGGACTTCCCCAGCCACAAATATTTTATAATGTACNTGGTATCGTATGTATATTTGCTAATGCGCAGTTTGAAGAAACCCCTTCCCTCGTCTGGATTCAAAGTGAATCCGGCTCGAAGGACCATATTTAGATACTTTAATACTATGCTCCTTAGATAATTTTCTAATGAGCGGTTTGAAGAAAACCCTTGTCTTTAATCCAATTATCTACCTACCAATTTACTTTATTCTTCTAGCAAATGATAGCCTGTATAAGTTTTATACCCTGAGATTTTATAAACACAAATCTGCCAATTATAAACCTTGTGTTATTAAATATTGGAGCTGGCAGATATAGGAACGATGTAATTTAGGAGCCTTCTTTAATTGGATTATAAATTATGAAATAATTGGGTTGTTCATTTTATTCCACTCATATTGTTACGTGTGAGACCTCAATTCATTTCTACTTGCTATTTATTTGGATTAATCATTTTATTCCTCTCGTTTTGTTACCTTTATGTACCTATATTTAAGATCAAATCACTGTACCTTATTCTTGGAAATAAATGCTATATCTTTATGTCCTCAACTCGACTCTACCTTATGTAGGTATGTCAACGTGAAATTGTGAACTCTGTCAGTTTATAATATAACGCGTAAGATTGTAAACTAACAGTGGGTTAGATTAGGTTAGGTTGTAATTTAACTACGTCAGATTATAATCTGACGGAATTCACAATTTTACGGTGACATGTACAACATGGAATGGAATATTGCAGGGGTTCCCTAACTTATATGCAAGTAAATGTCTTTGTCTTTGACCACACAAAAAAATCCAGTCCAGATTATTTATTGGTCGTATCGAGCGGTCTGGAATGCATTCTCGCAGCGGTCGCAGGATTTTTAATACTTACTCGTAACTACACAGATGGCCCCCCTTTAAAGGTCTTTGCGCTTCCCTTGGGGAACTCCTGTAATATTGACGATTAACTTTGCTAAAGTAAGCTGATTATTAATACTACCGTTCCATTGCCTTCAGGGGTCGTCTTAAGATCTCGAGAGAAGAGTGCCTTGTGCCTATGTTTAAGACCAAATCATCTATCTATCTATCTAAATATATATGTCACCGTAAAATTGTGAATTCCGTCAGATTATAATCTGACGTAGTTAAATTACAATCTAACCTAACCTAACCCACTGTTAGTTTACAATCTAACGCGTTATATTATAAACTGACAGAGTTCACAATTTCACGTTGACATATATAACTCAAAGGTGACTGACTGACTGACTGACATACATAGTGATGATCACTAAGTGATCTATCAACGCACTGCCCAAACAACTGGACGGATCGGGCTGAAATTTGGCATGCAGGTAGATGTTATGACGTAGGCATCCGCTAAGAAAGGATTTTACGAAACTCCACCCCTAAGGGGTAAAACGGGATCCACGCGTACGAAGTCGCGGGCGGCCGCTAGTTGTGCCATATTCTTGAAAATGAATGCTATCATATTAAGATATGATAGCATTCATTTTAAGACCCCCCTTTACCTTGCTTTAAGCTGATTTATTAATGCTACTGTTCTGTTCCCCCAGGGGTCGTCTTACAGTGGAAGAGTGCCTGGAGCACCCCTGGTTGAAAGACGAGTCGGACATCCCCCGCGCAATAGTCGGCGTCGGCTTCCCCGAAACCGAGTGTGCGTCCGACACCGGCGACTCGGATGACGAGGACGGCTCCTGCAACGGGGTGAATGGGGTTAACGGGGTGAATGGGGTTAACGGGGTGAATGGGGTGAACGGGGTGAATGGACACAGCGGACACAATGGATGCAACGGCACTAACGGGACAAATGGGACGCATGACGAGAAAGGTGAGGATTTTTGTGATTGTAAGAACTTAGAATAGAAAAGTAGCATAGTAATGTGAAAATTAGAGTGAGACAATTTTCTAGAAAGGCTAAAAGAAAAGATATTTCATGAACAAAGTTTTAGCTAAAGCATTTAAAAAAATACTGTTGTAGCATCCACTCAATTCATAAAACTTGCTGTTGTTCTCTACAATTTTTTTTAAAGAATATTCTGTATCTGTTTTATCCTCCAGCTAAACTAGACACGAGTATAAGTTTGTGTTAAGAGCGAGTTCGTTAAAATAATCCAATGGTCCAAGGGGGTCGATCTAGCGACACACGAATTTCTTCACGAACGAAATTCTTCATATTCAATCTAAATAATATTCTGTTATCTGTTAAATCCTTCGGCTAAACTATGTAGTAGTATACGAGTATAAGTTTGTGTTAGAGTGAGTTCGCTAAGCTGTCCAAGGCGATTGTACTAGCAATTTTGACAGTCCAACTTCGTCATGTTGGGTTAATATTGTATTGTTTTGAAATATGTGTAATGGATAATTCGACTACCCACTTGCACGCGACTAAACTGTTTTTTTTTAATTTCCAGACGCGGTGTCCTGCGGAGCGCGCGAGCTGCGAGCGTGCGCGGGCGCGCCAGCGTGCACGGTGTCGTGCGCGGTCACGTGCGCGGTGGCGTGCGCGGGCGCGGGCAGCGACTGCGGCGAGCGCGACAAGCTTAAACACGCGCGCGGACGGTCGCCGCCCGAACCCGCGCCGTCTACGCCTAAGGTACTAAACACATTAATACGACCAATTCTAGCCCGGTCTGTAAGCACGTAGAATCCCGTCCAATGACCCCAAGCTACCCATCCTTATCGCTCGCGCGTAGTTATATTGCTGTGGCGACTGTGCGACTGGCACCCGAGTAAGTGAGCGCGACAGCTACATAATTACGCGCGAGCGATAAGGATGGGTAGCTTGGGGTCATTGGACAAAATTCTACGTGCTCGCAGACCAAACTATAAAACATACTACAGACCTGGTGATAGTCAAATCCTTCTTTTAGCGAGGTTTATGTCCGTTTTCACCATCAATCCCTAATTTTTAATTGATCCCTATGAAACAAAATTCCTGGTGGTCAGAGGATTTTTGGTGTCTGCAAAAAATTTACCATAACTCACCGTAGATGTCGTATAAAGCGCCTTATGTACAGTGGGCCACAGTTCAAGCTACCCGTTTCCGTTTTTGCTCGCGCCCTCATCAAATGGTGATTATTTGCGATTGAAGAAGACGACATGACTGTAAATGGATAGCTGGAACTGTGGCCTTAGTATGGGCTTCCCCAGCCACAAATATTTTATAATGTACCCGTATTGAATTAATTTTATTATAAAGCCCGGTCCGTGAGCACGTAGAATTTTGTCCAATAACCCCAAGCTACCTATCCTTATCGCTCGCGCGTAATTATATTGCTGTCGCGACTGTGCGACTGGCACCCGCAGTGAGTGTGCGAGCGCGATAGCAACATAATTACGCGCGAGCGATAAGGATGGGTAGCTAGGGGTCATTGGACAAAATTCTACGTGCTCACGGACCAGACTATAGATACTAAACATTGTTGACTGAACGTTTAACCCCGTCCAGCAGTGGACGGCCGCGCTAACCGCCCGCCTTCTGCAGGTGTCCCGCAAGTCGCACCCGCACCCGCCGTCCGTGCTCGCGCTGTGCAAGAAGTTCCAGCCCGACTACGAGAAGCCGGCGTCGCTGCCGCCGCCGGAACCCGCCGCCGCCGCCGCCGCCGCCGCCGGACCCGCCGGCTGTCTGCGGCCGCCGCCGCGCGCGCGCCCGCCGCCGGACCGCGCCGTGCTCTGCTAACGGCTCCTGTGCTGCCGTCCGCGGTAGCACCCGATCAAACCGAGCCCCTTTATGCGCAAATTGGCAAATTCGCTAATTGTCTTGCGGCCGCAATCTGCCAAATTCGCAAAATCACAAGTTTCAAAAATGTCCAGTGGGGTCTAGACAAAGTGCAAATTATAATCGCAAACCAGTCGAAAAGTGATCGAAAAGCCCCTTTTTTGTATGGAGTTTTGACGGATTCGATTTTCGATTCGATCAAAAAGTGCGTTTTGTCTAGGGGGGCTGTGTGCTTACCATGAGTTTACGCTAGGTGTGCTCGCTAGCGAATACGTCAAAAAAATGTATGAAGATTTTATTTCTTGACAGTAACCGCTAGGGGCGCTGCACAATACGTCATACATTTAATGTCATTTTTTTACGTAGTCGCTAGCGAGCACACCTAACGTAAACTCATGGTAAGCACACAGTTGTTTAGGTTAAATAATAAAAGTTAAGTAATTAATTGGCAAAACTTTAAATCGTTAAATGTTAAGGTTTTTTTTTATTATAAAACCATAAAACCGTAATTTATGGACATTTTTAAAACTTGTCATTTTGCGAATTTGACAATTTGCGAATTTGGCAGATTGCGACCGCTTGACAATTTGCGAATTTGACAATTTGCGCATAAAGGACCGAGCCTTCGACTCGAGGCACCGACCGTGCCCTCAAATCTGACCCTCATCGCCTTGTAAAGTCCAAATTTTTTTATTAACCGCGTCGAAGGCTCGCCGCCGCCGCCCGGCGGACGTTCCGTGTACATACCCCTAGTTAAGTTAGCGATACGCGGTTGTATATTTTTAATTCGGCGGGGCCCCAATTGCGCCTCGAGGTACAAAGCCACAGAGTGTTTGGTGGGCGACGCGAGCGCAAGTAAACTTCATACTTTGATATGGGTTTGTGGACTTGCAGTCGACATCAAAAGTAACAGCGCACCGTTTGATTAAGGAAAAATGAAACTTGCTGAGCTTATTTAGAATACACGTAAGATATTTTGAACCTTTTTAGGTGCTTCGCTACTTTTGATGCTGTCTGCTGTGATAATGAAGATTACAAGACAGCAATCATGTCGATTATTTAATTTAATGACTTCTGGATGAAATCACGAAATTATCAAGTGCCGCGTTTTACCCACACAACACTTGCGTCGTCTACTTAAATGCTATATCTGTGTACAAAACGCATAATGTGCAAGCGTCGGCCGCCGCGCGCCCGCGCCTTTTGATCCCTGGAGCGCAACAGAAGTAACTTACTGCCCGGTTGACTCGCACCGTATGCCAAAGGCATAAATAAGGACCTAGTTGGCTTGTCAGGTGCCTATTTAGAACTGGATTGTACTTGAGAAGTAAGTCATCCCCAATGAGTATGTATGAACACGTGAATGACGCGTACCCGCATAGTGGCTTAGTGGCAGGTGATTCTTAAAAAGAACTCGGTCGCGATGCTGTTAGTTACATCGTACGCGCAGTATTTGTGATACTTACGTGCTCAAAGGGAGTGAGCTTACTTATCTATCCTCTTACTCTATGTCGACCTTCAAATATAATCCTTGCTTGAACGAAGAGTTAGCGCATGCTAAATTGTTCCCTACGTAACACATGATTAGGCACAAATCGGCTTGGATAAATCTGTGTTCAAGCAAAGTTACGCTTGGAAGTCGAGCTAGAGTATGAGATCCTTACTTCTGTTGTGGAAGTAGTGTCAAGGTCATCTCGCATGACGCAGGGTGATGACGCTACGAAGATGAATAAGTATTACATACGTTCGATACGAGTGTATGTTGATCGCATTACGCCTGTGGCGAATGTCGATGTGTTTATATGTAGATGTAAAGTTAGTTGGAGGCGCCGGGCCGGAGCCGGTAGTGGGCCCGGGGGCCGGCAGTGGGCCCGGGGGCCCCGGCGCGTATTTATTGTTGGCGCCGCGCCGCCGGCCGACGCCGCTTTACTTACGTACTACTTAGATAATAAAATTGTTAATGTGTCGATCACATCGCGTGACATTATATTGTAGTATCTAAGTGTTTAGATGATTTTAACAGAGTAATGTACGTTACGTAGGTCGAAACGGTAGCAAGATACCGCCCGAACGTCTGGGACCAAAATTGTTTGTCGGTAGATATTGTACAATATTGAAATTTTATCACTGGGAGTGACCGTTTTCGGGTTGTTGTTAGATAGAGGAATTGTTTACGTAGTAAACGTCGACTAATGAGCTCAAATCTTGCGACTTAATTTTTGTAAATTGTTTATGAAATCGTCGAGCGTTCGTGCCGTTGTCTAGTTAATGCATTCACATGTTCGAGGTCATTTTACTGTGTAATTGTTTGTCATTTATGAGAAAGTTTAATTTTTAACCATTTCTCAACTAAACTCGAAGATTTATACCTTGTGAGAGCTGTTGTGATTCGTGAAAATAAATTATTGTGATACAGAAATGATGTTTCTTTTTTGGTTTATTGTAACCCTGATTCCTATCCCTAAAAACATGTATGAGGTGTAAAAAATAAAATGCACATATTCTACTAACGCATATTTTTATTCATGAAAACTGTTTTGAGTTCTATAAAACTCACATTAATATACAAGTATATAGACGGGAATATCTAGTTACGAGCACCAAATAACACTTGTTTCTATTCATAACAGAGACAAATTGGTGTCGATGCAAAAAACTATGTATTACTTATCTATCAGTTTACATAACTTCATAACTAGTTACACGAGACGGCAGTACATGTTAGACAGTTCTATGTTTACATTCTGAACATAAAATACGCTTTATCGAAGTGCTACTGAGACCGTGCGGGAGTCTAGAGATTAGTACTTAGCTATAGCTAGAGAATACACATTTTAACTGCCGACAAAACAACAATATTTAAATTAGTAACTATTAAAAGAAGATCAAGATGTTTCATAGAAAAATATTGAACAAAAAATCGAAAGTAAAACCATAAATAAATTAAAGGAAGCTCACGACACGAGGCTGGTCTAAGATAAATATTTGCCCAGCAGTGGGACATAATATTATTAGAAATATGTAGTACTCTTATGGAATTGTTTTGTTGTGGCAGAGTTGTTGCAATTGTAATCCGCTCCAGACTCCGAGACAGCCAAGTAGCACAAGAGATTATTATATATTGGGTACATAAATGTAAATCATTGCGACGGTTCATTAAAATAAATGGTCCCAATACTGAAGACCGTAACTTAAATTAAAAATCACATACAGGAATAGCAGAACCACACATTCTTTACTATACAATAAAAATATCATAAATGATTTAAATAACTAAGCAATTACTTATTTTAACCCTTATTCAAATGCGAGCTGGTATGCATTTTTTTTACAAAGTTGAAGTGGATTTTGGGTAATTGTGGGTCACTTATTTCATATTTTTGATCAAAATTTATAAAAAAAATAGGGGAAGGGGTAGTTTTTTGGGTGGTAAATAATTTACCATTATCCATTAATGACTACCAATTATTAAATGTTGCGTAGGACCATAATCTAGGTACCATTAAGAGAAATGACATGAACACAGTCATGTTTCAATGGGATTTCTACCAGTTAAGTTGTTGTGTTGTCGCATAATCGATCACAGATCGATTATTAATCGAATTGCCAAAAAACGATACATCGATTAACAATTCGATTAATCGATTTTATTGATTACCATCATTACTATCATTTGATTGTTAATTCAATTCCTTATTTTCAGCAATATAATCGATTATTGAAATCGAATAATCGATTATGATTTATTCGGTATACATACTTACTAAATCGATAGAATCGATAGTAAGATACGATACAATACTCTCAATATGATCGATAAAAGCAATGTAATTGACCTAATACTATTTTTATTACCCTAATGTGATGTGAAATACTATGGAAACTTTGCATATTCAACGACCTCTATCTCCGTATCCCCGCGTATTTCAGGGTTGTTGTCATACTATGAAATAAAGGACTAGTATTAAGCTTTAATTTAGTATACTTTTTGTTTCTGTTGGACTAACGCCCAATATGCCCATCATCCTTTATTATTTTATAAAAACTACATTTATTAATATTAGTTATTATCATTACAATTATTATGCTTACCTTGAGTCTGAAACTAACAATTAACTTATTACGTAACGTCAAAACGTTACGTAAGTAGTTATCAAAATAACTTAAAATTTCTCCAAATATTTATTTAGTTTTATTTGTGCACATACAAAAAACAACAGTTTTTTATATTATCATCAAACTTTTGTCAAGACGGGATCGGACAGTGGTAAACTAATTACCACTTCTTTAAAATGTCTAAATTATATGAATAAATCAATTGCAGACGCTGCCTATAAGTGAGATTATACAATAAATGTTATAGTTTAGGAATTTGAATCGAAAAAACACTTTTCAGAATTTTCGTTGAACAAAGTTTCAAAAATACCAAAAAAGCGCGCTAAGAACTTGAAAATTTTGACACCAAAACCGTTTGGTTGACTTTGACATTACCTGACAGTGACAAATGACGTTGAAAAGTTGTAAGATGGCATAGATAAGTAAAAAAATATATTTAAAAATTAAAATAAGTGACCACGATATCTTTAAGTATTATAGCCTGACCAGGAACATAAAAACCCTCGCCATGTTGCGGAAAACGAATGGTACTAATTTCTTTTAATAGCAACAGTAACTGAAAACTTCATTGACATGGTCACCTTGCATGTCAGTCTATTGCTGTCAAAGTGTAAACAAACTTTATATTAAATGTGCGCAATTGATTTTGTGAATTAAATTGCTAAAATCTTTTTATAGTCGTGAAAGAAAAGTGGTTCACAATGTGTTAAAATATTTGTCGAAGAGAAATACTAAGGATTCGGACAATATTTTCATTGAATAATGTTTCCGACAAAGGTTGTCAAATTGACTGACATGTTTATCGTATAGTACAGTCCACTATGAAAATTAGCTGTGGTTGGTTTCAACTACCAATTTAAAAATTTTTTGTCACTTTCTAAGTGCTGAATTTTATGGAATTGGGNATCCACATGCACATTTTTGAGTTCTATAAAACTCACATTAATATACAAGTATATAGACGGGAATATCTAGTTACGAGCACCAAATAACACTTGTTTCTATTCATAACAGATACAAATTGGTGTCGATGCAAAAACTATGTATTACATATCTATCAGTTTACATAATTTCATAACTAGTTGCACGAGACGGCAGTACATGTTAGACAGTTCTATGTTTACATTCTGAACATATAATTAAAATAAGCTTTATCGAAGTGCTACTGAGACCGTGCGGGAGTCTAGAGGTTAGTTATAGCTAGAGAATACACATTTTAACTGCAGACAAAACAACAGAATATTTATATTAGTAACTATTAAAAGAAAAACAAGATGTTTCATAGAAGAATATGAACAAAAAATTGATAAAAAAATCAAATAAATTATAGGTTTGGTCTAAGAAAAATATTTGCCCAGCAGTGGGACATAATATTAGAAATATGTAGTACCCTTATGGAATTGTTTTGTTGTGGCAGTGTTGCAATTGAAATCCGCTCCAGACTCCGAGACAGCCAAGTAGCACAAGGGATTAAGTAGATATTGGGTTACATAAATGTAAATCATTGCGACGGTTCATTAAAATAAATGGTCCCAATACAGAAGACCGTAACTTAAATTAAAAATCACATACAGGAATAGCAGAACCACACATTCTTTACTATACAATAAAAATATCATAAATGATTTAAATAACTAAGCAATTACTTATTTTAAAAACTAAATTAAAGGCATTGAGGCTCGCATTCTGAAACAACGCTAAAAAGCCGATTCAAACTCAAGAATTGAACATGCGATTGGTTTCACATGTAATCACTCAAGTGTTGTTTCACAATACGCGCCTGAAATACAAACACAACCGATTAAGAGAAATGATTTGATTACGATTGAATTTGACTAGATTGAAGGAGTGAGGATATAAAAACGATGTCGAATTCAAATAATCGAATCATAAAATAATACTCGAATCACAGCCCGAAACATATTATTATACCAGTGAATCGTAGAATGTTTCGGCTTACACTACATTTAGTCTTACTGAGCCTTGAAAAAACAGTTCTATCCTAAAAAGTTGGTAAATATCATAGTTAATGCTCTAATTATAAAATATCTGGGAGATTAAAAACAAAATATTACATCATTATATTACTGTCAAGAACATACATTTATTGATAACTGGGTAATACAAAATACTCATCAGCACTATGCTAAATACATATTCATAAGACTGATATGAACACGATTTATTTAATCTTTATATTGGAGGAATATTCCTATTGATAGTAATTATTACTAGCCTACGGTAAATAGAGCCATCATGGGACTAAATATTACTTTTTAAACTACTCACGACGTACAAAACCAAAAACTCGGAGCCAATTGCGTAGAAAGAAATGGGCAGTTTAAATTTATTTTTATTAAGTTCAAGTTTAGTATTTTCGGATACATGCATTATGCATCCCTCTTTCGTAGCGGGATGAGCGATACCGAAATATGAAAATACAGAAACATAGTTATGGAGGAACCCATAGGAGACTGTAATTGAAAAATTACCTACAGTATACTAGATATTATCGTCGATCTTAATACACTTAGATACAATAATTTCTAAATACACAACGCGAACGAAGCGTTTCTCTGTATTGCTTATCACATACATACATAGCTGATCACTTTCGAGTTGCAACACATGGCCTAAAACTTTTTATCTAAATCTATCTACCTTAATTCTCGAAAACCTACGATTTACGTTAGTTTGAGGAAGACAAAGTGTCTTGTAGTTAATTGGCTACCTAAATGTTACACTAAAGCTGCCTCATGGTAAGCTATAGGTAAAAATTGTCGGACCAAAGGAGTAAATTGTTAAATATTTTGAAGTTCAAATACTTTAGCAAAGCAAAAATTATAAGGCGTAGTTATAGGAAGTTGGCAACGTAAGCGTACTTGCTAGCTACAAAAATATATTTTTCTACGCCTTGGGATCTATTTATTTCGACTTTAGTCTTTAGATACACTATTTGTAGTCTAATTCCCGCAATAGATAGGTTTCACTGGTTTTCTAAACGTGTTTATTTATTATAGGCACGAGACAAATTGTCACCTTGTTAGACGCTCATCTTTTAAAGTTAAAATTACGATCTCAGTTCACACGACACAATAGAAGAAATCTATTTGTCACATAAATAGTTTGATGTCGTCTCTTTCTTTACCTAATGTAAGAGCAGGCCGGAGAGCCTAGTAGTCTGATATCTCTTTTCATTACCTAATGAGAGAAAGAGCGAGTCTTAATTCGTGGAATGTCCGCTAGACGTGACGACAGTGTCCGCTAGACTTGAGGTCAGTGTCCGCTAGAGGTGACGTCAATATCTACCAGACGTGACGTCAATTTAGATTAGAAGTCAACGTTAATGAAAGCTAGAGGTTGACGTCAGTGTCCGCTAGAGGTGACGTCAAAATCCACCAGACGTGACGTCAACGTCCGTTAGACGTGACGTCATTGTCCTTTAGAAGTCAACGTCAGTGAAAGCTAAAGGTGACATCATTGTCTGCTAGACGTGACGTCAATATCTACCAGACGTGACGTCAGTGTCCACTGGACGTGACGTCAATGTCCGCTAGAGGTGACGTCAATATCTACCAGACGTGACGTCAATGTCCGTTAGAAGTCAGCGTCAGTGAAAGCTAGAGGTGACATCAGTGTCTGTTAGACGTAACGTCAGTGGCCGCTAGAGGTGACGTCAAAACCCACTAGACGTGACGTCATTGTCCGCTAGACGTGACGTCAGTGGCCGTTGACGGCGAGCGCGCCGAGCTGATCTGCGTACTCGGTGTAGAGGCGTTGCCATCGCAGCTGCCGGACTAAGATGGAGAGCATCTCTTCTAGGACTTCGTGCTTGTTCATGCCCTGGAAATAGAGTTCAGTTTTGAACGATTTGTTTACGGTTTAGAATAGGCATATTAAAGGTTATTGAATAAGGACTCTGGAGTATAAAAATCTATCTAAAATGCAAATGTATGATGTTCTATGTATGGGGATAGGTCGACAAAAACCTATAACGGTATTCAGCATGGCACGTGAATACAAAAAAGTAAAATTGTTCCCTAAAGAAATTGTCGATTTTCAAAAACTATTGGTTAATTTGGATACATTATTATGTCAATACTTTCAACATGGTAGGTCTTTATTTACAATAAATAGATTTTTTTTAAACTAAGGCAAACTTAATTCTAAACAAAATAAAAATATACTTATTTTACTCAAAAATGAAAGTGTGTCCGTGAGGCAAAGAGGCGAGGATGCTGGCTGCATTTCCTCGCTGAATGGCAATACTAATACTTTCAATAACATGCACTTACCAGTATCGTGGATTGCCATTTCTTAGGCGTAGACGTGCAGTGGCTGGGACCAAGGAAGTCGTCCAATATCGTCCGGAGCTGGTCTTCTGTGCCTGAAATTTTATATTTCATCAGTAAGTATAGCTTAGGATACTTGCACTTTAGATGTGTTTTTGGGTTTCATTGTGCATAATGAAAAAAAGTTATACGAAATATAACCAAAACTAAAACAAAAACATAGGTTTTGCGTAGCAACCTGACTTCATCTTTGGCGGAAAAGGGATTTGCGCTCGAGTGAGGAATGTTGTCACAAACCTCTTGTGGAAACACAATTTTTCACAGTTTTGCTATGCATACTAGCACATATCTTGTAGAAAATCACTCTAAAGATAGTGTGATATGTATTTTTGTAAGTGGGTCACGGTGACCCAGCGTCGGTGTCACGTACCGTGGCTCGCGAGGTGCGCCACGAGAGCCGTGAGCCAGTGGCGGTAGTCGCGCGCGCGCCGCAGGTGCAGGCTGGCGGCCGCTCGCGCTTCTAACCAGCTATGCACCGCTCCTGCGCTGTAGGCTCCGCTGTAAACATTGTGAGTGGGTCACCGTGACCCAGCGTCGGTGTCACGTACCGTGGCTCGCGAGGTGCGCCACGAGCGCCGTGAGCCAGTGGCGGTAGTCACGCGCGCGCCGCAGGTGTAAGCTCGCAGCCGCTCGCGCTTCTAACCAGCTGCGCGCCGCTCCTGCGCTATATGCTCCACTGGAAATATAAAGTTGTAAAGGTTAGAACTCAATGTAATTTATATTCAATGAAATTAATTTTTAAGCTTATTTTCAAGTGATTTCGTTCGTTCGTTCGTTTCAGCCAAATGACGTCCACTGCTGGACAAAGGCCTCCTCCAAGGTTTTCCACAATGCACGGTTCTGCGCTGCCCGCATCCAGGCTCTTCCCGCGACCTTTACCAGATCGTCGGTCCACCTAGTAGGATAGTCCTCAAGTAATTTATGCACGTCCAAATGTAGTTTATTACACTACCTTACTTAGATGAACCTTAATCACATATTTTTAACAGGGAATACGGTCTCATGTTGTACAAATGACAAACGACTCTGACTATAGTGTTGTGCATGTCGGCCGTTTGGTGTAGTGGTTCAAAACGGGCTACTATTCCGGAGGTAGCGGGTTCGATTCCCGCACAGTACAAACATTTGTGTGCATGAACATATTTGTTTGTATTGGACTGGGTGTTTTCTATGTAAAATAAGTATGTATTTACAAAAAAAAAGTATTTAAGTATGTTTATATCTGTTGTCTAGTACCCAAAGTACAAGCTTTGCTTAGTTTGGGACTAGAAGCGCAATGTAAATGTCCAAGGATATTTATTATTATTTCATCATCATCATCATTTCAGCCATAGGACGTCCACTGCTGAACATAGGCCTCCCCCAATGCTTTCCATGTTGATCGATTGGTAGCGGCCTGCGTCCAGCGCTTCCTTGCTACCTTTACGATGTCGTCGGTCCACCTTATAGGTGGACGTCCCACGCTGCGTTTTCCGGTACGCGGCCTCCATTCAAGAACCTTTCTGCCCCATCATTATTATTATTTGGTTTTATTAATTTTTCTTTCTTATTTTTATTTTTTTCTTTTTACAATGTATTTATCAAAAAAATAAACTTATTATTATTATTATACCTGGCTGCAATTAACTGCGAATGCGTTCGATGTTCCCTGACGAAAATGAGACGACATTTCCGTCCTTCCTAGGTTTTCTCTCAAAATAACGTAATGAGAATACGTGCAGTAATCCCTAGGGAATCTTACCTGGCAGCGACGTTATGGGAATGTGTGCGGTGTTCCCTGTACAGCAGCTGCGAGGAACCGTGCGAGCCCTGGGAAGGCGGACGCGTCGCCGCCAGCGGGCCCGATGCGCGCCACACCGGGTCGGTCGCGTCTGACCACACCACCCTGGAAAGAATAGAAACAGTTAATATCGACAAATAAATATCGATATTGATACAACCCTATGATACTTAATTCTTTTTTTCTTTATTTGATTTGGTGCTCTTATCCACACAGATATGTCAGCCCCATTGTATCTTCACTTACAAACAACATATACATATACTTAGAAACAAGTCAAACTAGGTATTTATTTAGGTACTCTTAATTCTTATGCCCCACGTTTTGAACTTTACAACTTGGCTGTTGTTTGCTTTTCCACGCCCTAGTATGGGCGAGAGACAAGTCCTCGTTTTAAAGCCCGTCCAATAGGACTGGTTATGAAAATCAACATGGGCTATATTACAAATATTTGTCAAGTATTTATCTTTATTATGTTGTTTGATCATCTCTAATATAATAAAAATACAATTTGATGTTTAACTTGTAAAAAGCGTGATAACCTATACTAATATTATAAATGCGAAAGTGACTCTGTCTCTGTTACACGCCTAAACCACTGATTTTGATGAAATTTGGCATAGATAGTTTGAGTCCCGGGAAAGGACATAGGATAGTTTATATCCCAGTTTTTGAAACAGGGACGCGCCCGATAAAGTTTTTCTGTGACAGACAAAATTCCACGCGGGCGGAAAGCTAGTTGACACATAATGTAAAATAGCACTATGAAAATGTTATGAATAATAATGAATAAGACTTACCATGCACATAATTTCTTGCAGTAAATATAACTTTTCCCGTTGCTCAGCGAGATCATTGGGTTGCCGTCGTCTAACAGCGTGCAATTCGTTACCGTAACTGAAACAAAGAAAAATAATGTTAGATCAAAACTTCATTTACTAATTTCTTCCACCATTTTTAGACCCGGCTTTTACCCAGGCGAAAAGGAACGGAGAAGTATCGAGCGGATAAATTTTTCTATAGAATTTGACAGCGGCAGCGGCGAGACTCTGTGTGGAGTAGAGAGAGGAAGTGGAAATCATGAAATCTTATTCAAAAATCTCTTTCGCTGTACTCCGCTTTGGTGGAAACCGGGCCTTAGGTACGGCAAGCTATATTGGGACGTTTAAAAGCGCTTATTAAACCTATTTTTAGAAAAATAAACGACTTGAACTTTATTCCCTTGTCTTATGGTCCTAAATCCGTAAACGAACTAAAGTCGCTGACATAGCCCGACGGTTTAGCAAGCTGAAGTGGCAATGGGCAGGGCACATAGTATGTAGAACCAGGCCTGTTCATCTCTACGAGTTTACATCGAAAACAAAACACGCACGATGGCCCACCTACAGGATAATATTCTACAAGGCCTCACATACGAGCGAACATTGACTCACACACGCGTATTCTTGTGTATGATGGAAGAAAATAAAGAAAATGGTGTACTAAATACTGTGCAGTATTTAACTGCCTAAATAATAATAAAAACACAGAATGTACTTTTTTAAGTTGCCTCAAGACACTGAGAGGTAAATAAGTAGTTAATATTATTCATGATAATTCATGCTAAATCATGTATTTCCTCCGCCATCGATCAACATGGAAAGCATTGGGGGTGGTCTATGTTCAGCAGTGGACGTCCTATAGCTGAAATGATGATGATGATGGTCTTAAAACAATGAAAAATTAGGGCTTTCTATGTCCTCAAAGGTTTAAATCATTTACCTCCGTGTGACAACAGGCTCCTGAAGTTGAGCGGCTTGACGAGGCAAGTGGCGTCGTTGAGGTCCCAGATGAGCAGGTCGGCGGCCGTCGTCACCGCGGCCAGAGTGTCGCCCGAGAGAGTTAGTTTCGCTGCTGGGGACATTAGGGCTGTGGGAAGAAGTTGTATGGTATTTATTTAGGTTGCAGTTTTAACAGCGTTAAGTTAGTTTAATAAGACATAATGAGGGCTATCGTTTTTATACTTAACAGTTGGCACCCCTGGCGATTGACAGGACCTTACTCTACAGTGGCGCCATCTTGATGAGTGCAAATGCGATAGTCCTCCTACCACTTTAGCGCTCACCAGTTGGTGACACTGTCTTCGCTACTAGCAAGTGACTGGACCTTACTCTACAGTGGCGCTAACTGGTGAGCGCTAAAACGATAGCCCTCATTATTAGCGATTGACATGGCTACTTAGTTATTTAAGACACGACAGTAAATGTGAGTTTTTAAATCGATTGTTTCAATGACAGCTACCAATTTAGTGTTCATCAGTTAGTGCTACTGAAGAGGAAGGTTCTGTGCTGTAGCTAAGCTTAACCAATTGATGAGCGTTGAAGCTACGTAGAGTAAGATCTTGTTATTCACAATACTGAGAGCAAGTATGGTGCTATTCCAGTGCGGATCATAACCCGCGTTTATTATTTCATTCTAGTACCTTAGAACACAAAATAACATCATATTTGTATTCTAGTCCATTTAAAAATAATAAATCGAAAACATTAAAATAGCAAACAATAAAATGGAAACCTTTAACCTAGGTTTACCGAATGGACTGAAATATGAACTGAGGACTGCGTTTCCACAGCATTAAAAAAGTATGGCTATTCACTCGGATTTCAACTACCCTATTGACCGTTATGGGGTAGTTGTTTTACACCTCTTGACTTACCAATGGGAGGTAGAGCACGAATAGGTTTTGCGCGTCCCAGCCGCCAGGCGTGCAGCGCGCCGTCCGCGCACACCACGCACGCCCAGCGCGCGTCGCACGCGATGCACGACACTGCCGAGCCTGAGGAAACACAGTTACATCTATACTAATATTGTAAAGCTGAAGAGTTTGTTTGTTTGTTTACTTGAACGCGCTAATCTCCGGAAGTACTGGTCCGATTTGAAAAATTCTTTCAGTGTTAGATAGCCCATTTATTGAGGAAGGCTATAGGCTATACAACATCACGCTACGATCAATAGGAGCAGAGTAATAATGAAAAATGTTGCGAAAACGGGTTTTCACGTATACGAAGTCGCGGGCACAGCTAGTACTGTATACTGGGAAATGGGAGTATTTGAAGTTTGGACTTTACAACAATAACGATTCTCGGCATCGATTTGCTAAAAAAAACTACCACAGACATATATTTAATTCATACATATTAAAAAAAATATTGAAGAGAAATACGGACGGACAGACGGACAGACAGACATGACGAATCTATAAGGGTTCCGTTTTTTGCCATTTGGCTACGGAACCCTAAAAATGAGTAAATATTAGGACTTACCCAAATAAGTTTCCCACACTGGATCGTTTGAGATCGAGTTGTTGGGGAGCAGTTGTAGTTTTGATAGCGGCCCGTAGTGTGTGTTGCACGCTTTGTTTATGACCTGCAATAAAATATAAGAGAAATTTTTATTAACTTGTTGCAATGTTACAGGTGCATTTTTTTTCCAGAAAGGGAGCGATCAGTGAGAAATTTAGTCAGCATCAAGAATCTTGGGGGCTATGCGCAACTATTTAGAAACTCTCGTGAAGAGGATTTTTATAAAAAAGCAGGCTATGGTTTTACACAACTTTTATACAGCACTGGTCACTTGAGTGAAGTCTTTCCTTCTTACACCTGTATTCACAAACAATGCTTCCTTAAGTGACGCAGCAAATCGAACGCACAGCGTTGAATAGAGTTCTGTGATTGGTTCACGTGTAACCCTGTGCGTCCACGTGCACTGTGAGACCTCATAGTAATGTTTGTGAATACGGGCATTAGGCTATTGGCACTGTCAAATTCTCAGTAGAGACAGCATTAATGTAAACATACTAACAGTGTGCATGTGAGTCTTACCTTACTTAATCTTTTGGCAGCGTTGAATTCTCGCAACTGACAATGTTTGCAAGTAATCTCGTGCGTTTCTCTTAAGACATTTAACCTTTATGAAGTCTCAAACTCTCTGCAGCGCGTACAATAGGAGGCGGTGCGGGAGGGGAGGCGTCTCGGCGCGGGCGCAGCGCGGCGACTTTTATAGAAAAACTCCCTCACTCATTTAGGAAGCACCTAACCCTATAGTTTTCAGACACTTGAGTAAGTTCTTACCTGCAGTCTCAAGCTTCCAGCAGCTCGTAAGATAGGTCCGGCTGTACCAAGCGCGGGCGCAGGTAATGCTAAGACAGGCGGGGGCGCGGGAGGGGAGGCGTCTCGTCGCGGGCACAACGCAACGGCTTTTAAAATCAATCTCCCGGTCTATGAGCTCGTGCAACTGTTTAGATAGTTGAGTCAGCTCGCGGCGCGGCGCGAGCGTTTTCCGTCACTAGAGTAAAGCCTTACCTTAGGTCTTTGCTGGCGCCAGAATCCCGCAATAGAGGATTTTTAAAAGAAACTTGCAGTTTATGCGTTTGCGCAATTGCTTAGGAAGCACTTAGTTCTGCAGACAGTTGATTTAGTCCTCACCTGCAGTCTCAAACTCCCTGCGGCTCGCACAATAGGTCCAGCTGTACCGAGCGCGGGCGCCGGTAATGCTAACACAGGCGGCGGCGCAGCGCGGCAGCGTTTATAAACAAACTCCCAAGCTATGCGATCATGTGGCTACTTAGATAGTCTAGTCTGAGTAGTCTCACATGTGCTAAATCTTGCGACGGAGCATTTCTTTAGAAACTCGGGGACTTTGCGCCAGCGTAGCTGTAAATATCAGACACTATAGGTCTTACCTGAAGCCTCAGACTTCCTGCAGCTCGTACAATAGGTCCGGCTGTACCAAGCGCAGGCGCAGGTAATGCTAAGACAGGCGGCGGCGCAGGCGGGGAGGCGTCTCGTCGCGGGCGCAGCGCGGCGGCTTTAGTAAACAAACTCATAGGCTATGCGCTTGCGCAGCTGTTTAGAAAGTATTCCGTCACGCGAGTAAAGTCTTATTTACGCCACATTATTACCCTTGTAAAGTTTTACCTGTAGCCTCAAGCTCCCTGCAGCTCGTACAATAGGTCCAGCAGTACCAAGCGCAGGCGCCGGTAATGCTAAGACAGGCGGGGGCGCGGGCGGGGAGGCGTCTCGTCGCGGGCGCAGCGCGGCGGCATTAGTAAACAAACTCCCAAGCTATGCGCTCATGTAGCTACTTAGATAGTCTGGCCTTTGAGTAGTTTTACTCGTGCAAGATTTTCGCGACAGAGCTTTTGTAAGGAATCTCGGAGACTATGCGCAAACGCAGCATGCAGATACTTGAGTTAAGTTTTACCTGTAACCTCAAGCTTCCTGCAGCTCGTACAATAGGCTCGCCAGTACCAAGCGAGGGCGCATTGGGCCCTGCCTGTAGAATGACACACCCCCCTAACTTTTTGTAAAGCCTGGTCCGTGAGCACGCAGAATCCCGTCCAATGACCCCAAGCTGCCCATCCTTGTCGCTCGCACGTAATTATGTTGCTGTCGCGCTCGCACACTCACTGCGGGCGCGCGTCGCACAGTCGCGACAGCAATATAATTACGCGCGAGCGATAAGGATGGGTAGCTTGGGGTCATTGGACGGGATTCCACGTGCTCACGGACCAGGCTTTAATAAGGGGGATAAGGTCTTACCTGTAACCTCAGGCTTCCAGCGGCTCGTACAATAGGCCCAGCTGTACCGAGCGCGGGCGCCGGTAATGCTAAGACAGGCGGGGGCGCGGGAGGGGAGGCGTCTCGTCGCGGGCGCAGCGCGGCGGCCCGCGGGCCTGGTAGTCCACCGCCACCGCGCTTGCGTAGACGTTGGTCTAACCCACTGTGAAGAGAAAGGTTAGGTTTTGTAAGGATTTTTTATAATCTTAACATTTTCGTAAATGAGATATCGTTGGTTAAGTTCTATCACCACGTAAGTAAATTTTTGGCAGGTTTGACATTTTGATGCAATGAGGGTTTTCGCGAATGAAAAATCCGCCAGATGACAATACGACGAGGTCCAAATGCTGCATGATTAGTTATTTTTAACATGACATTGACAGATATGTAAAAATCCACCAATCACGCAGCAGTCAGACCCCACATCCACGTCCCGCCATCTAGCGGATCTTTCATTCGCGAAAACCCTCATTGGCTAGAGAATCGAAAGACGCGTCGTTTCGTCAAATCTCCTAAAAGTTGCTAAAAATGACTTACGTGATGATAGAACTTAAACGACGATATGTCAGCTATGGCGTGTGGTTCTTACAGAATAGACTAAGCCACCCGACTCTATTCATGAATGTCGAAACTTCGTAAGTGTTGCGACTCAGAGAGGAAGAGACATGCGAACATCTGGCCTCCCCATTTTACCTGGCCAGCTTAGTATAAGTGTAGACCTTCTTTGGCAAATTGAAGAGTTCTGTAGTGAAAACTAAAAATGACCGGATGACAATGGTATGTCAGACTACAGAACTAAACTGTAAAATAAATTACCAGCGATTGGCTGGATGGGGAGACAAGAGTACTAAGGTAGAGGGAGCGAGAGGTACTGAAAGAGGGAGCGTGGAATACTGAGAAAGAAACTAGGGGTCTGAGGGGGAATGAGGGGTACTGGGGGGAGCGAGGGGGTTACTGAGGGGGGCGCAAGGTACTGAGGGACAGCTTGGGGTACTGTGGGGATAGCTCGGAGTACTGAGGGGACAGCTCTGGATGCTGAGAGGACAGCTCGGGGTACTGAGGGGACGGCTGGGGTACCGCGGGGACCGCCGGGGTACTGCGGGGACAGCTATGGGTACAGAAGGAACAGCTAGGGGTACTGTGGGGACAGCTCAGGGGTACTGAGAGGACAATTCGAGGTACTGAGGGGACAATTCGAGGTACTGAGGGGACAGCTAGGGGTACTGAGGGGACAATTCGAGGTACTGAGGGGACAGCTAGGGGTACTGAGGGGACAATTCGAGGTACTGAGGGGACAATTCGAAGTAGTGAGAGGACAATTCGAGCTACTGAGGGGACAATTCGAGGTACTGAGGGGACAATTCGAGGTACTGACGTGTCGGCGGGGCGCGAGGTGGCGTGGTTGCTGACGTTGGGATGCGTGACGATGTCTGCGCGCACCTCCACGCGGATGCGCGACTTGCTCTGCGACGACGTGCTGAAGCAGTGCTCGCCGCCGCCTGGCTGGGAGCCTAGGGACTCGCTGGAAAGAGACAGCATATTCAATTCAGTATACAGGGTGTGCCTCTGTGGATCAAACAAAAAGATTGATTCTACTAAAGCCTGGTCCGTGAGCACGTAGAATTTTGTCCAATGACCCCAAGCTACCCATCCTTATCGCTCGCGCGTAATTATATTGCTGTCGCGACTATGCGACTGGCACCCGCAGTGAGTGTGCGAGCGCAAAAGCAACATAATTACGCGCGAGCGATAAGGATGGGTAGCTTGGGGTCATTGGACAAAATTCTACGTGCTCGCAAACCAGACTATACTTAAATGCAACAACTTTCATAAAGAAACAATATCCAAATTCTCAACCTACAAATTATCTTTGCGAATGACCATAGTTTGATGACTTAAAATCGAATAGGAGTGCTGTTGGTGAGTCACAGATCAGAGCAACGTATGAACGGTGCTTCGCGTAAAAACGAAAACGAAAATTTTCAAATAAATACACAACAATACAGTGCAATGTCAGTTAGTTTTGCGGCAAAGGTAAGACAGAATCTCTGATTTGTCCTGCGAGAACCCTTCAATATTAATCGAGACTACACACAGGCACGGTTTTGTCTAACTGGAAGTCTTTAAATAGACTTCGGACGCAGGTTGGCCGTAGTAAGGACAATCTGGTCAGGTGGAGATTCTTGGATGGCTTAAACATGGAGTGCAGGTGCAGTTTTGTTCCTGGAGCACCTGATGTCATGCCCTGAGTGCCCAAGCAACTGCACTCAGGAGGATTTGATGAGTGCTGCTGACAATGCCACTCTTGTGGCGGAGTTTTGGGCTGACACTGTGTAGGTTTGTTGTCGACACGAAAGGAAAAGAGGAAGAATACAGTGCAATAAACTCACTTGGCATCAGCGTGCGTGAGCGGTATGAACACAGGAGTGATGCGGCGCTTGCCGTCCGACGTCCGCGTCTCGATCTGCCGGTCGATGGGCCGCAGCGTCGTGCTCGCCGAGCTCACGGGCGAAGGCGTCAGGATTGGCTTCGACTGAAACGTTAATAGGTGGGATAGACCTCATTATTCGTACTATCAGGCCTGTTCATCTCCACGAGTTTACATCGAAAACAAAAAGCACGATGGCACCCTACAGGATTACTATTCGACAAGGCGTCACATACGAGCGAGCATTGACTCACGCACGCGTATTCTTGTGTATGATGGAAAAAATAAAGAAAATGGTGTACTAAATACTGTGCAGTATTTATCTGCCTAAATAATAATAAAAACACAGAATGTACTTTTTTAAGTTGCCTGAAGACACTGAGAGGTAAATAAGTGGTTAATATTATTACATGATAATCATGCTTAATCATGTATTTCCTCCGCCATTTTCTGCAGTTTGGCACCTCACGTCACACATCATTTTACCGAAGTCAGCCCTATGGCTTCGGCGCAGTACCGATCACTGACGTTTGTCAACAAAATGGTGCTTAACTCTTGAGACAAGCTAAATTACACCATATTGTTAATGAAATTGAGCATACATTTTTTTAAATACCTTCGCGAAGTAAACCTTCTGTACGTAGTACTTATTATTATTTTCTGGTACTATTAAAATAGGCTATTGAAAATATCTGTAGGTTCTATTTTCTCTTACAAGGTGACACAAACAATGACTTTGTTTGTTGTAACGAAAAAGTCACACTCGTTTGCCGACTTGCCTTAGAGGTGCAAGCTATATTAGTCCAGTCAATAAAGCATTATAGATGGAAAACTGTAGAACACAATTTCTGACTTCAGGACTTTATTTAGACTAGTTAGGAGGTGAACATAGCAAAAGTCCCCGCCCTTAGCCCTTGAGCCGGCGGGGAGAGGGGGGTTTAAAGGTGCCACTTTTCGGTTTTTCGCTTAATCTTCGGAAACTATGCGTCCTAGCGACATGACTACTTTGAACCAAAAAAAGCTTATTCAATTTGCTACAGGTGAGACCGTCAAGTTTTTCTATATCTTGTATAGTTTTTGCGGCATCTGCTCTAGAAGGTCTGTAAAATTGGAAATTTTATTGTTGTCTTACATGTTCCTTTCAGGAGAAAATCGACTAAATCAACATTGAGCAAACCCTATAGACATGCGGGAGCATGTTAAGCCTAGTTCCAGCGAGGGGACTACACCGTGCGTATATTTAGACGAATCACTTTGAACCACTTTTGACTCCTCATCACTCAAAAACTACTGTGCATTAACACTTCAAATTTGGCTCATGTGTTGAGACTTGCAAGATATACATCAGTTTCAAATTTCATAAATATGCCTCAAACGGTTCTTTAGATATTGACGTCCAAAAATCTACATGTCTGACCTATAGACCAAATTCTAACCACTTCCAGATGACCTCGAAGGTTCAAACTTGGCATCCAGAAAGGTAGTTATGTAAATACAAAGGAACAAATAAAAAACCAGTAAATTTTAACATTTCACATGTGATAGATAGATAGTAGTGCTCTAAATATCGATTTTTGAACGTCAATACCTAAATAACCGTTTGAGGTATATTTATGAAATTTGAAGCTGATGTATATCTTGCAAGTCTCAATACATGAGCCAAATTTGAAGTGTTAATGCACAGTAGTTTTTGAATGATGAGGAGTCAAAAGTGGCGCTAATTGGTTCGTCTAAATATACGCACGGTGCAGTCCCCTCCATGGAACTAGGCTTAACATGCTCCCGCATGTCTATAGTGTTTGCTCAATGTTGATTTAGTCGATTTTCTCCTGAAAGGAACATGTAAGACAACAATAAAATTTCCAATTTTACAGACCTTCTAGAGCAGATGCCGCAAAAACTATACAAGATATAGAAAAACTTGACGGTCTCACCTGTCGCAAATTGAATAAGCTTTTTTTGGTTCATAGTAGTCATGTCACTAGGATGCATAGTTTCCGAGGATTAAGCGAAAAACCGAAAAGTGATACCTTTAATCCCCCCTCTCCCTGCCGGCTCAAGGGCTAAGGGCGGGGACTTTTGCTATGTTCACCACCTAACTAGGCTAAATAAAGTCCCGAGGTCAGAAATTGTGTTCCACGGATTTCTCTCTACACCGTCGTTAAGGCATTTATTGACTGGACTATATTGGGATAGATACAGCCTCTCATCTGGCCCGTCACAGCAGGGCTACTCCAAAACGCTGTTTACGCAATTTCGGGTCTATCTATCACCGTCACTCATGCTTTGCGTGAGAGGGATAGCAACATTCGAAACTTCCGATAAGGTTTTTCGGAGTAACGCCGCAGATTTCACTGTCCATTCCATCAGCATTCAAAGCTCGTAGAGCTGATGGCGGTTGGTGCAGAAAAGTTCTCAAGTAGCGATCACGGACAAGAAGACGTCAAGTGGGCAGGTCCCCACTAGGTGAACCGACGATCTGGTGAAGGTCACTGGAAGAACCTGGATGCGGGCAGCGCAGGTACGGTCGTTGAGGAAATCCTTGGGGGAGGCCTTTGTCCAGCAGTGGACGTCATTTGGCTGAAACGACGTCACCTTCGTATCAAACTCACCTGAGACTTGTCGCTCTTAGGCGTGGACTATTCGCGGGCTTCCCTCTTGGCCTCCTGTTTCTCCCGCGCCAGCAGGATCTCAGTACACTCCACCAGCAGGTTGGAAGATAAGTCCGCACCAGACTCGTTGGCTAGACACTTGCCTTAGNCGGAGTTATCGCGTAACAAACATACAAAAAAAAACATACGGATCGAATTGAGATCCTCCTCCTTTTTTGAAGTCGGTTGAAAACTAGCGCAATTTTTTCAAAAAAATATACAACTACATATTATACAGTGCAATAAACTCACTTGGCATCAGCGTGCGTGAGCGGTATGAACACGGGCGTGATGCGGCGCTTGCCGTCCGACGTCCGCGTCTCGATCTGCCGGTCGATGGGCCGCAGCGTCGTGCTCGCCGAGCTCACGGGCGAAGGAGTCAGGATTGGCTTCGACTGAAACGTTTGCAGGTGGGGTAGACATCATTATTCGTACTGGTACTATTAAAATAGGCTATTTAAAATGTCTGTAGGTTCTGTTTTCTCAAAAACAATAACTTTGTGTAACGAAAAATCAAATCAATTTTCTGTATTAATTTAAGGCGACAATAGCTCAATAGTACCAGAGTAAATACAAATGAGTAGGTCATCTTCATAGAAACGCCCGAGCGCGGTTTGTATGTGAGCGCGCGCCAATACGTATACGGCGCGCACGCACACTGACAAAAAGCGTGGATTAGCGGTGAGGTGCATACGTATTGGCGCGCTCACATACAAACCGCGCTTGGGCGTTTCTATGAAGCTGACCTACTCATTTGTATTTACTCTGATAGTACTGTCTACACCAGACTCGTTTGCTGACTTGCCTTAGAGGTGCAAGCCATATTGTGATAGATACAGCCTCCCGTCCCGTCACAGCAGAGCTACTCCGACGCTGTTTACGTAGTTTCGGGTCTATCTGTCACCGTCGCTCATGCTGATATCTTGCTTTACGTGAGAGAGATAGCAACATTCGAAACGTCGGATAAGGTTTTTCGAAGTAACGCCGGAGATTTCACTGTCCATTCCAAACAAACCAGCATTCAAAACTCGTAGAGCTGATGGCCGATGGTGGAAAAAAAATTCTCGAGTAGCGACCACGGGCCGGAAGACGTAGAGTGGACAGGCTCTCACTAGGTGGACCGACGATCTGGTGAAGGTCACTGCAAGAACCTGGATGCGGGCAGCGCAGATACCAATCGATCAACATGAAATCATTGGGGGAGGCCTATGTTCAGCAGTGGACATCCTATGGCTGAAATGATAATGATGATTGATTGTCTCTTTCGTATCTTACCTGAGACTTGTCGCTCTTAGGAGTGGACTCCTCGCGGGCTTCCCTCTTGGCCTCCTGTTTCTCCCGCGCCAGCAGGATCTCAGTACACTCCACCAGCAGGTTGGAACATAAGTCCGCACCAGACTCGTTAGCTAGGCCCTTGCCTTATAAGGGCAAGCTATATCGACGGACGGACCGACGGATTAGCAAGCTGAAGTGGCAATGGGCAGGGCACATAGTACGCAGAACTGACGGCCGATGGGGCAGCAAGGTTCTGGAGTGGAGGCCGCGTACCGGAAAACGCAGCGTGGGACGTCCACCCACAAAGTGGACCAACATCATAAAGTCGCCGCTACCAATCGATCAGCATGAAATCATTGGGGGAGGCCTATGTTCAGCAGTGGACATCCTATGGCTGAAATGATGATGGTGATTCATTGTCTCTCTCGTATCTTACTTGAGACTTATCGCTCTTAGGCGTGGACTCCTCGCGGGCTTCCCTCTTGGCCTCCTGTTTCTCCCGCGCCAGCAGGATCTCAGTACACTCCACTAGCAGGTTGGAAGATAAGTCCGCACCAGACTCGTTAGCTAGGCACTTGCCTTATAAGGGCAAGCTATATCGACGGACGGACGTACCGACGGATTAGCAAGCTGAAGTGGCAATGGACAGGGCACATAGTATGCAGAACTGACGGCCAATGGAGCAGCAAGGTTCTGGAATGGAGGCCGCGTACCGGAAAACGCAGCGTGAGACGTCCATCCACAAGGTGGACCGACAACATCATAAAGGTAGCAGGAAGCGCTGGACGCAGGCCGCTACTAGGGTTTCTGATTTCTCGACTTATTTTTTTTCTCGAGTTTCGGGAATTCTCGAGGCCAAAATCTCGAGTTTTCTCGGGTCTCGAGTCTTTTAATTAAAACTGTTGAAATTGGTTGAAATTTAATAAAAACACGGGTTTTTATTAATGTTATAATGTGTCTGGGTTATAATCAATAATACTGTAAAGTTTCNTAGTGCTCTAAATATCGATTTTTGAACGTCAATACCTAAATAACCGTTTGAGGTATATTTATGAAATTTGAAGCTGATGTATATCTTGCAAGTCTCAATACATGAGCCAAATTTGAAGTGTTAATGCACAGTAGTTTTTGAATGATGAGGAGTCAAAAGTGGCGCTAATTGGTTCGTCTAAATATACGCACGGTGCAGTCCCCTCCATGGAACTAGGCTTAACATGCTCCCGCATGTCTATAGTGTTTGCTCAATGTTGATTTAGTCGATTTTCTCCTGAAAGGAACATGTAAGACAACAATAAAATTTCCAATTTTACAGACCTTCTAGAGCAGATGCCGCAAAAACTATACAAGATATAGAAAAACTTGACGGTCTCACCTGTCGCAAATTGAATAAGCTTTTTTTGGTTCATAGTAGTCATGTCACTAGGATGCATAGTTTCCGAGGATTAAGCGAAAAACCGAAAAGTGATACCTTTAAACCCCCCTCTCCCCGCCGGCTCAAGGGCTAAGGGCGGGGACTTTTGCTATGTTCACCACCTAACTAGGCTAAATAAAGTCCCGAGGTCAGAAATTGTGTTCCACGGATTTCTCTCTACACCGTCGTTAAGGCATTTATTGACTGGACTATATTGGGATAGATACAGCCTCTCATCTGGCCCGTCACAGCAGGGCTACTCCAAAACGCTGTTTACGCAATTTCGGGTCTATCTATCACCGTCACTCATGCTTTGCGTGAGAGGGATAGCAACATTCGAAACTTCCGATAAGGTTTTTCGGAGTAACGCCGCAGATTTCACTGTCCATTCCATCAGCATTCAAAGCTCGTAGAGCTGATGGCGGTTGGTGCAGAAAAGTTCTCAAGTAGCGATCACGGACAAGAAGACGTCAAGTGGGCAGGTCCCCACTAGGTGAACCGACGATCTGGTGAAGGTCACTGGAAGAACCTGGATGCGGGCAGCGCAGGTACGGTCGTTGAGGAAATCCTTGGGGGAGGCCTTTGTCCAGCAGTGGACGTCATTTGGCTGAAACGACGTCACCTTCGTATCAAACTCACCTGAGACTTGTCGCTCTTAGGCGTGGACTATTCGCGGGCTTCCCTCTTGGCCTCCTGTTTCTCCCGCGCCAGCAGGATCTCAGTACACTCCACCAGCAGGTTGGAAGATAAGTCCGCACCAGACTCGTTGGCTAGACACTTGCCTTAGAAGGGCAAGCTATATCGACGGACGGACCGACGGATTAGCAAGCTGAAGTGGCAATGGGCAGGGCACATAGTACGCAGAACTGACGGCCGATGGGGCAGCAAGGTTCTGGAATGGAGGCCGCGTACCGGAAAACGCAGCGTGGGACATCCACCCACAAAGTGGACCAACATCATAAAGTCGCCGCTACCAATCGATCAACATGGAATCATTGGGGGAGGCCAATGTTCAGCAGTGGACATCCTATGGCTGAAATGATAATGATGATTGATTGTCTCTTTCGTATCTTACCTGAGACTTGTCGCTCTTAGGAGTGGACTCCTCGCGGCCTTCCCTCTTGGCCTCCTGTTTCTCCCGCGCCAGTAGGATCTCAGTACACTCCACCAGCAGGTTTGAAGATAAGTCCGCACCAGACTCGTTGGCTAGACACTTGCCTTAGAAGGGCAAGCTATATCGACGGACGGACGGACGGACGGACCGACGGATTAGCAGGCTGAAGTGGCAATGGGCGGGGCACATAGTACGCAGAACTGACGGCCGATGGGGCTGCAAGGTTCTGGAATGGAGGCCACGTACCGGAAAACGCAGCGTGGGACGTCCACCCACAAGGTGGACTGACAACATCATAAAGGTAGCAGGAAGGCGCTAAAGTCTGTTCGCCGAGAGTTGATAAATATTATGAAATGTCTTGCAATAGCGACTGTCGCTTAATTATCGCATTCTGTATGGCGGGCGTCGTTTGTCACAACGCGCACTGAGTACCATGGTACGAGCCACGCAGCTGTCTTCAAGCGCCCCGGCCGGCGGGCCGCAATGTGTGAAACGCAATGCGTGAAACGGAATAGATTTATTTTAAATAAGACCGAAATGAATGGTATGACAGTGGGTAGGGCTTAGCCCAACATTGGGATACACTATAAGCCACTTGATAATAATGAAATACTTTTTATCTAACACATGGACGCCACGTGTTTGATCCGTATCCCCACGTATGCCCTAACCGGAATAATTCCCGTAAATTTAAAAGAGATAATAATGATTATCTACCAACTTTTTCATTATATCGACAAAAATAATTAGCGAGCCGCAATTTATAATGAGTTTAGAACCTCTGATATTTAATTTTTTTTATCAACTCTCGGCGAACAGACTTTAGACGCAGGCCGCTACCAATCGAGCAACATGGAATCGTTGGGAGAGGTCTATGTTTAGCAGTGAACGTCCTATGCAGCTATGATTCATTGTCTCTCTCGTATCTTACCTGAGACTTGTCGCTCTTAGGCGTGGACTCCTCGCGGGCTTCCCTCTTGGCCTCCTGTTTCTCCCGCGCCAGCAGGATCTCAGTACACTCCACCAGCAGGTTGGAAGATAAGTCCGCACCAGATTCGTTGGCTAAGCACTTGCCGTAGATCTTCTCGTAGAATGCGTTCTGAAAATATTAATTAAGGAATGAAGAAGGAGATTTCATTTAAAATATAGAGGTTGACACAAAATGAATGCGGATTGCGCAAGCCTTTTGCGACGTCTCAAATACATAGTTCCATATAAGATAATACAATGTCATAGAACGTGCGTATACGTCTACCACTCTGGACCGACATTTTAACCTTTATTTTAACAGCAGTTTTTTTGTTGTATACGAAATAAAAGCCATTTGACTTTGGCTTTTTTGAGCTTGAATTACGAGTATATGTAACTAACTAGCTTTCCGCCCGTGGCGTCGCCTGCGTGGAATTTTGTCTTTCACAGAAAAACTTTATCACGCGCGTTCCTGTTTCAAAAACCGCGATAAAAACTATCCTTTGTCCTTTCCCGGGACTCAAACTATCTCTATACCAAATTTCATCAAAATCGGTTCAGTGGTTTTGGCGTGAAAGAGAGACAGACAGACAGAGTTACTTTCGCATTTATAATATTAGTATAGATTCCTCGTTATTAATAAATATAACAATTATTTACCTTCTCTTCCATAGTAAGCGGTGTGCCGATTTCTTTGTTAGTAAACTGTATACAGGCCACGGTACCATCTGAACTGCACGCTAGGAGATTTAGACCTGTAAAAAGAAAATTGTAAATTAGACCAGATGATCAGTTCTGAGCTCTTTCATTCACGATTATATTGCTGTTGAAACTTCAGTATAGCTCACGGAACCTTGTGTATAGCTCACGGAACCTTCCGTATAGCTCACGGAACTTTCAGTATGGCTCACTGAACCTTCAGTATAGCTCACGGAACCCCCAGTATAGCTCACGGAACCTTCTGTATAGCTCACGGAACCTTCCGTATAGCTCACGGAACTTTCAGTATGGCTCACTGAACCTTCAGTAATCAGTATAGCTCACGGAACCTTCTGTATAGCTCACGGAACCTTCCGTATAGCTCACGGAACTTTCAGTATGGCTCACTGAACCTTCAGTATAGCTCACGGAACCTTCTGTATAGCTCACGGAACCTTCGCTCACTTAACCTTCAGTATAGCTCACGGAACCTTCTGTATAGCTCACGGAACCTTCAGTATAGCTCACGGAACCTTCTGTATAGCTCACGGAACCTTCAGTATAGCTCACGGAACCTTCTGTATAGCTCACGGAACCTGCAGTATAGCTCACGGAACCTACAGTATAGCTCACGGAACCTGCAGTATAGCTCACGGAACCTACAGTATAGCTCACGGAACCTGCAGTATAGCTCACGGAACCGTCATAATATCTCATGGAACCCCTAGTATAGCTCACGGACACTTCAGTATAGCTCACCATCCGAGCTCCAGGACAGGTCCAACACGCTGTCGGTGAACAAGTCGTGCACGACCACCAGAGGCCGCTTGAGCGACGTGAGCCAGATGGACAGCGCCCGGTCACGTGATCCAACTGCGGCGCAGCAGCACTTCTTGCCTTCTTTTACGAATATGTTGTTGTTGAACCGCTGGAAAGGAATAAAATATTTTTAGATATTTTACACAGCGCCATGTAGAAATTGAATATTTAATAAGCGATCAGACATTTAGATCGAAGACAATCTTATGCTTATGCAACTGCCAAAAGAAACTTTCATTGAATGTCCTCTCGCATTTCGTGATTGTTTTTGATCAGCTAGTGAAAATAGTTTCCCAAATGCGGATATATCATGCATTACAGAGGAATCTTCTGCACCTTAAATGCATGCCAGAAAAGCTAATGGAACATCCATCCGAAAATCCAATGGATGTTCTGTTAAAAAAATAGCTCAAAGGTGCCATCGATGCTCTATTGTAGTTCGAAAACTATCGCCGCATTTCTGTTGCGAGTAACCCTTTACCAATACAAGCATAATCGTACATTTAGCTTAGTTGAAGTTGAGAATAGTTATTTTAGAAATACAAATGAATTGAATGATTTTTTTTTATATTATTTATTTATTTTATATGTATTATTAACAGATTATGGTGACTCATTCTGGATATGGAGAGCCAAAATTAATCATGGAGGTAATCTCAATGGGGATTCTGCTCTCATCGCTTTTAATCACAAAAGAAATCTGCTCATGGTCTTATAATTCTGACTGAAAAAAATACAAGCTAGCTAGGGGTCATTGGACGAAATTTTATCTACTCGGCCACCGGACTTTAAATATTTTTTTTATAACTCTGGTTCTTTTTATAACTCACCGCACACGTGACAGCTTTCCTGTGTCCCACGAAGTCTTTGTCGCAGCGCCAGCCATCTCTTTCTACCACTTGCGCGGTGGGCCCGCCGCCATTCATGGCGTGTGCCGATAACACATACTGACCGTCAGGTGACCACGATAGCCGGAGGACGTGGGTCGTTCCTGGTAGATAATACGAGGTATAAATTAGATGAAACTAGAGCAGAACCAATAAGACATAACTAGGTGGCATGTGTCATAGAGGTATAGACCACAAAATAATAGCACTCTTGAAGTCTGTTTAACATTGTGGTTGTGGGATATGATGTTCATCCACAATAAGGAAGCTAGATGTTAGTGCTTCCTTCCGAGCGGGTGTTGTGCTCGGGGACCAAGGTCCAATTTACACTATCTTGGTTTGTCTATACAGGGTGTTACTTTGCATTCTTGCCATATTTACAGAGGTAGGTAACTATATTACTGATACTGAACACAAATCCGTTAAAAAATAATGCCCGAAAATTTTGATTTTTAATTTTGAATATTTTATTTTATCGACAATCTGTTAAACACATCACTAACTATCGTAACGCATGCACATCACTTATGTTAGCGATGGCGATGGAGAATTTTTTACTTTTTATTGTATTTTTAATATCTATTGCAATCTATTGTCTTTAAAATGTCTTTTTGACACTTTTGTAAAAAATTGAGAAATCCATCAATCACAAATCACGTTATAAATAATACAAAATGACTGAAGTGTATTCAAACAACGAATAATTTAATCAAAATGGTGCTTGGAGTGTCTGCAAGATGTCTTAAATGAAATGCTTGATGACGTACCCTTAGCGTTACACCAAATGCTCTACTACCAGCAGGATGGTGCTCCCCCACAATAAGGACGTCAAGTGCGCGAATAATACGTTTGGTGAACAGTGGATTGGACGAGGGGGTCCAGTAGCTTGGCCACCACGATCCTCGGACCTAACACCAATGGACTATTATTTTTGGAGTGACTTGAAACGACCTGTTATGCGCAGAAGAGATAAAAAGTGTAAACGTGTTACGTGAAAGGATTGCTTCAGCGAAACTGTGAGACAAAACGTTTATGTGTTGCGAAAACTAAAGCGAAATACCTACGCTTCGCCGTGCTAGACTGTGCCTTCATCAGAACGGAGGACACTTTGAACACTTGCTTCGCAGTACGTAAACTTTGTAAGTAGGAACTCATAAATAAATAATTAATTGTGAATAAGGTGATTTTATTTCATACTTAATTTATTAATTTGTAAAAATAGGGAACAATGTTATAAATTAATTAAAAGCCTAATAATTATTACGTATTCTTGACGGTCCTAAGCCCGTAAAGTAGAAACTGAGAGTAGAAAGGAAAATCTAAAATCAACTGAAGAGTATTTTAAAATAATTATTATGACTGGATAAAAAGGCTGGTACCCAGAGCCATAAAACATCACAGATTAATAAGAACTAGGCCACGCCCACTAGGTTTATTCCACTTGCACCTGTAGAAAGTGCGAGACAAAATTGGTTTATTCAGTATAGCTCACGGAACCTTCAGTATAGCTCACGGAACCTTCAGTATAGCTCACGGAACTTTCAGAATAACTCACGGAACCTTCATTATAGCTCACGGAACTCCCGGTATAGCTTACGTAACCTACAGTATAGCTCACGGAACCTTCATTATAGCTCACGGAACCACCAGTATAGCTCACGGACGCTGCAGTATAGCTCACCATCCGAGCTCCAGGACAGGTCCAACACGCTGTCTGTGAACAGGTCGTGCACGACCACCAGAGGCCGCTTGAGCGACGTGAGCCAGATGGAGAGCGCCCGGTCACGTGATCCAACTGCGGCGCAGCAGCACTTCTTGCCTTCTTTTACGAATATGTTGTTGTTGAATCGCTGGAAAGGAATAATAAATGTTTTTAGATATTTTACATAGCCCCATGTACTTTGAAATTGAACATTAATTTTTAACCAAGTTTAAAAAAAAGTAATTGGTTTACAATCATTGAATCATATCTTCACAGCATAAGGTTTAAATTGATGTGGTATCTGTGGATACCTGAGCCTGGTTAAGGGTTTTAAATAAGCGATCAGAAGTTAAGATCAAAGACAATCTTATGCTTAAGCAACTGCCAAAAGAAACTTTCTTTGAATGTTTTCTCGCATTTCGTGGTCCTTTCGGATTGACTAATGAAAATGGTTTCCTATAACGGGTTCATGCATTACAGAAATGCGTGCCACTTTGAATGGAGGTCAGAATCATCAATGAAAATGAGCCAATGTTGTATCGGACTGTCGATTCTAGGGTCCGATCGCCTCTAGAGTATTGCAGCTGGAGGGGTTAATGGGAGTAGTATTTACTTATGATGGAATCATTAGTTCTTTTAAAAAAATATTGTGATTATTTTGGCGTATGCGCACTACTGCGATTCTCTATTTTACAAATAGGCTTTTGAAAGCGATTTTATGTTAGCATGGTTAAGCACATTTTCACAAATAAATTGATGTAATTTGCTGCATCTGTAGAACTTACCGCACACGTGACAGCCTTCCTGTGTCCCACGAAGTCCTTGTCGCAACGCCAGCCATCTCTTTCTACCACTTGCGCGGTGGGCCCGCCGCCATTCATTGCGTGTGCCGATAACACGTACTGACCGTCCGGCGACCATGATAGCCGGAGGACGTGTGTCGTTCCTAGTAGATAATACGAGGTATAAAGTAGATGAAACTATAAATAAATAAATAAATAAACCTTTATTGTCACCATAACAAAAAAAATACAACTTTAACACAGCTTAACAATTAAAAATAAGGTGACAAGGGCATCCGGCTCAGCGTAAGCTGTACGGCACTAGGTCCATGCAGCGCTGGTTTTCAGCCGGTGCCAGTCTCCTGCACAGTAATACAGCGTACATAGGTAGGTGCAGTGATATAAAAAAGAGAAACAAGATTAAAATAAAAACCACACATTTTTCATCACCAGTCACTAAGCCTCTCCCACACCGAACTATAGCAGAACCAATAAGACATAACTAGGTGGCATGTGTCATAGAGGTATAGACCACAAATAGCACTCTTGAAGTCTGTTTAACATTGTGGTAATTTAGGCTTAGAGTAAGTCAAAGGATTTTTACTTTTTACTGCTTCTGTATTTAAAGGTGTCTTTTACAATGATAATGATTTGTTAGCTCAAGATTTTTCTCAACAAAATAAGGTCTAGAAGGAGATTTTCTCATAGAGATTATATTTTAATTAGAACCATTAATTATTTTTTTTACTGCTTCTGTATTTTAATTCAGGTGTCTTTTACAATGATAATGATTTGTTAGCTCAAGATTTTTCTCAACAAAATAAGGTCTAGAAGGAGATTTTATCATAGAGATTATATTTTAATTAAAACCATTAATTACCTCCACATTCCTCAAAAGGTTCAGTGATAACAGTTTCTGGTGCCCAGTCTGCTGTCTTCCATACCCTTAGTGACTTGTCATCTGATTGAGATGCTAGGTACTTGCCAACCTGTAAAGAAAAATGTTGATTAAAAAAAAGCAATTAGCGGAATACATGTTACAGTGTTATTTTTAATTTAATATTATGTCAAACACATAATTGACATAGTTCATCCTTAGTGAGCTGCCACACTGGCACTGCGTATGCGCAATGTTTCCCCCTAGAGTTTTCGCGTCGCTGCTCCGCTTTGCGTGTAATCCGCCAGTGTGGCAAGGCCCTTATCCTCTATAGCAGGGGTGGCCGATCGCGACTATTAGTCCAGTCGATCGTGGCAAGGCAAAAATACTACATGATTGTGTACTAAACTATGCTGTTTCATTTATGATTTCAAGAAGTATATAAGTGTTAGACCACCCAGGGTTTCGTTAGTAAAAAGTAGATCTTAGTCTAATCAAATTGGCCACTAGAGATGGGTTATACTAGGTAAATTTGATACTAGGTGCACCTATTCCTAGTATTTATTAATACTCGATCCAAATACCTATTCCACCTAGTACGTAGTAATTTAGCATACTTGACGCGACTAGTGCGGACTAANTTACGTGAAAGGATTGCTTCAGCGAAACTGTGAGACAAAACGTTTATGTGTTGCGAAAACTAAAGCGAAATACCTACGCTTCGCCGTGCTAGACTGTGCCTTCATCAGAACGGAGGACACTTTGAACACTTGCTTCGCAGTACGTAAACTTTGTAAGTAGGAACTCATAAATAAATAATTAATTGTGAATAAGGTGATTTTATTTCATACTTAATTTATTAATTTGTAAAAATAGGGAACAATGTTATAAATTAATTAAAAGCCTAATAATTATTACGTATTCTTGACGGTCCTAAGCCCGTAAAGTAGAAACTGAGAGTAGAAAGGAAAATCTAAAATCAACTGAAGAGTATTTTAAAATAATTATTATGACTGGATAAAAAGGCTGGTACCCAGAGCCATAAAACATCACAGATTAATAAGAACTAGACCACGCCCACTAGGTTTATTCCACTTGCACCTGTAGAAAGTGCGAGACAAAATTGGTTTATTCCAATTTGTACTGCAAAACCAAATTTACTAAAAACTCAGTGTACTTTCTTTATGTGAGTCTCATGTTTATCTTAAATAACAGGTATTGGTCCCTACTTTTATCTCTGTAAATATGGCAAGAATGCAAAGTAACACGGTGTATATACTTGGCAGGATATAAAACTCCGTCACCGCGATGCAGGTTTGTATGAGCGGCGGAGTGTGCCATAGTTAATAATAATTAATAATAATTAATAATAATAAATAAATAAATTCTTTAGTGTAGTAGTTACAGCGTCATCTGTTGGTACACAGTTTGTAGTGGCGTATCGTCGATGTCGCCACAGTGGTAATTTAGGCTTAGAGTAAGTCAAAGGATTTTTACTTTTTACTGCTTCTGTATTTTTAATTCAGGTGTCTTTTACAATGATACTGATTTGTTAGCTCAAGATTTTTCTCAACAAAATAAGGTCTAGAAGGAGATTTTATCATAGAGATTATATTTTAATTAAAACCATTAATTACCTCCACATTCCTCAAAAGGTTCAGTGATTACAGTTTCTGGTGCCCAGTCAGCAGTCTTCCATACCCTGAGTGACTTGTCATCTGATTGAGATGCTAGGTACTTGCCAACCTGTAAAGAAAAATGTTGATTAAAAAAAAGCAATTAGCGGAATACATGTTACAGTGTTATTTTTAATTTAATATTATGTCAAACACATAATTGACATAGTTCATCCTTAGTGAGCTGCCACACTGGCACTGCGTATGCGCAATGTTTCCCCCTAGAGTTTTCGCGTCGCTGCTCCGCTTTGCGTGTAATCCGCCAGTGTGGCAAGGCCCTTATCCTCTATAGCAGGGGTGGCCGATCGCGACTATTAGTCCAGTCGATCGTGGCAAGGCAAAAATACTACATGATTGTGTACTAAACTATGCTGTTTCATTTATGATTTCAAGAAGTATATAAGTGTTAGACCACCCAGGGTTTCGTTAGTAAACAGTAGATCTTAGTCTAATCAAATTGGCCACTAGAGATGGGTTATACTAGGTAAATTTGATACTAGGTGCACCTATTCCTAGTATTTATTAATACTCGATCCAAATACCTATTCCACCTAGTACGTAGTAATTTAGCATACGTAATATGAGTTTAAAATACAATTTGAAATTGAATAATAATTCCTCCCTTCATACTTCAACAGGCTTAGAACTGGCAACTTAAAAGTTGGCGTATTTATAAGATATGAATTTCATAAAAATATTTAGGTACATATTTTTTTCTTTTTTACATGAATTTACATGAATATGGTTTGACTACGTTTGTGTGCGTTTGCTTCGTCGCGCTCAAATCTGTTTGGTCAGACAGAGACGGAGTAAATCTCTACGTTCGCATATAAGCTTAGCGAGAAATACTCGGTGCGCGTAATACACGACTACGGATTACGCAATAATAACCTCTATTACTTTGGTAGGGTCGGAAATCGTGTAATTTATAAAATACTAGGTGGATCAAGTATTTAAAAAATTGGAATAGGTGCCGCCTAGTACTGTAAAATACCTAGTGTGTGGATCTGTTCTAGTAAATACGTCTCATCTCTATTGGCCACCCCTGCTCTATAGCTTATTTAGATACTTGTACCTTCGTTCGTTTCAGCCAAATGACGTCCACTGCTGGACAAAGGCCTCCCCCAAGGTTTTCCACAATGAACGGTCCTGCGCTGCCCGCATCCAGGCTCTTCCCGCGACCTTTACCAGATCGTCGGTCCACCTAGTAGGAGGCCTGCCCACGCTACGTTTTCCAGCCCGTGGTCGCCACTCGAGAACTTTCCTGCCCCNATTTAGATACTTGTACCTTGAATTGTAATAAAAACTAGCGAACTAATATTGACACTTACAGGGTCCCACGCAACGCCTTTCACCAGACCTGTGTGTCCGTTGAGAACACAGACCATCTCCGGAAACTTCTCAGCATTCCATATTATGATGGTGTTGTCCACACTGCAGCTGGCCAGCCACTTGTCCAGCGGAGACCAGGCCAAGTCCAGGACGTCACCTGAAAAATTGTGATCAGACATGAATTGAAATGCTCCTATAAATCATTAATAAAACTTACAAATACAATAAGGAAGTGTTTGTTTAAAGTGATATTTTCAGTAAGGTAGCAGATGACATCATAAAGGTAGCAGGAAGGCGCTGGACGCAGGCCGCTACCAACCGGGCAACATGGAAAGCATTGGGGGAGGCCTATTTTCAGCAGTGTCAGTCAGGCCTATGGCTGAGATGATGATGATGATTATCAGAAAGAGAATTAATGTCATAATAACGACAATGTCAAATGTCAAAATAACAATTAATTCCTATTCCTCGATTAGATCACAGTATGGTGAATGGGTTCACATAAATATATACGAACCAGCATGTCCCCTTAGCGTTGACAAGCATCTCCAAGTCTCAGCCTTGTGCTTGCCCTGCGCTCCGGCAGCCACACTCAGCCCCCACACCATGACCAGGCGGTCATCTCCACCGGACGCCAGGTACCGCCCAGCGTTGCTCCATCGCACACAATTTACACAGGCTGAAATGGAGAGAACGATCAATTTATCATATTGTACACCCAAAAACGGTGATTTAAAAAAAAAATAACATAAATAACGACGACGAAAGGTAAGAGGTTTTTTATGCAAGAAAGTATGTGCTAAGTTAGCAAAATTTGATTAGTAAAAGACTTGTATATTTTTTATAACAACTAGCAACCTATTTTGAAATATTTGGTTAAAAGTAATTTAAAATTTACATTTCCAAGCTGAATAAAATTAATTTATTGGGGTACCTAAGTGATTGTCCATTTGGCAAAGCATTTTCGGGATGTTCGGATCCACCTCCACTGACTCGAATAAAACCGAGTTAAGGTTCCACACGACGACCCGGCCGGAGTCCCCGCCTTGCCCGCCGGTCGCGAAACGCTTCCCAGCGGGGTGGATGTCCACCGAAAATATTGGTTTGTCTGAAAAATACAACTTTGTTTACCACTTCTTATAGGCTACCAATAATTGGTTCAAAATGTCCATTAATCCGACGTTCGTACACTCTTACCGTCATGATTGACCCAACTAGGTTTCAGGAGCTTCATTTATAACTATTTAAAATGAAAAATTTGCGAAAATAAGGCATAAAATTGATAAAAACAGACGATTTATTTATTTCCCTAAAATGACAATGAAATGACAGCTGGCGTGCATACCGCCCGGCATTTTTTTATTCGTCCAGAAATCAAAGCAAAATGGAGCTTGTTCTCTAATTTTTTTTCCCAAAGCTGAACAACCATGAACAACAGAAACGAACAGAAAAGAACAATGCATCTCTTTCAAAATAGCCGTCTTTTTAGCGCAGTCGCTAGCAAAGCCAAGCCACGTAGTCGCAACCGCAAGCAGAAGCTAGAATAGAAGCTTGGCTAGAAATTACTTTTCTCTATGGGCTAGAAATAAGAAATAACAGAGCCAGTCAGCCAGGGCACCAGCGTTGCCAGTTTTTTTTTCTCCAATTCGGGACTTTGGTACTTTTTGAGTGAAAATAGCGGGACTCTTCCGTCAGAAGCGGGACATAGTAAAAAAACGTATATAATCAAAGGTTTTCAAATATTTATCTTTTTATTTGACTTAAAATTACGTTTGTACGTGACAATATATAGCAAAAGTAGCCATAGAAAATGTATTTTAACAAAAAAATAATATTTTAAATCAGATTTACTCTATCGTTAAATTCGTCTTTAGAATAAAAAAGAATTAAATTAAAAATGTTTCATTCTTTAGAATAATATGGCGTTTAAAACAATAGTCTGGTGAAGTGAGTGTCTCTCTCCGAAAAGCGGGACCGAGCCTGTCCCGCGCGGGACATTTAAATTTGATTTAAAAATCGGGACGTCCCGCCAAAATCGGGACGTCTGGCAACGCTGGCCAGCACATAATTCATACGAAGTAGCAGAGGCCACAGCATTAGCTTCAGGAGCAGATGGCAGAGCTCTGCTGCAGATAGTGGTGGGCGAGTCCTTCGCCTCATTCGTAGCGCTTGCTTGTAAAATACCTATACTTTTTAGCCGTGGAATTTATGTATTTTTCCTTTGCGCTCTAAAAAAAAGCTATTTGTCAAGCTGACATTGACATAACTGACTGACAGGAGTGACAGGTGTTATCATCACGTCTTCTGTCATTCGCAGCGTGTTCTCTCTCAATCGAACTTTATTTTAGGATACGCTCCAAAAACATAATTTTGTATAAAAAGGCATGAGAGGTGCCGGAACTCTTATCCCAGCTCGTTTTCTGACCCTCATCGGGCACCTTTGTGTACTCGTAACGCTACTATGGGAGAGCCAGGAGAGCGGCAGACATTGTTTGCCAAGCCAGCACCACACGGAATTTATCCAGATTTATCACAACCGGTGAGTGGAATGACCCAGATTTAGAATCAAACCATACCTTACGTATCTATTCTTTTTATTTGATGTAGTCAGAGTTAAGGTTCTTGTAGTTTTTTGTCATAAATTTCGAATACACGATGTGCGTCATTGCGTGAGGGTCCCGCAGCCCGTTACGCGTGAATGCGTAAACAGAATATAAAGCATATCACAAGTATTTGTTATATTCTTTGCATGGTTGTACTTGTTGACTAATGGCATGACTGAATGTTGTTTTTTACAAGGTCGTTCTCGTGTATTACGATTTACGATAGATATGTATTAGTAATACACGATAGTATTATAGTATGGAAACAAAGAAACATCAATAAACATAAATATGTACTTACACTTACAAAGTTTTCCTTAAAACTTTTTAGTCATAGGTAATTTTACAAATTTTATCTTTGCAAGTGGTACCTATATGATTTAGTGTAAATCAATATTGTAGTAACTGCATTTTGTGTCCATGTATTATTAAATTAAGGTAATACTTATGAGCACTTTTGCCATTCAAGCACTTTTGCTATCTTGGTGAATCTTAGAATCAAGGGCAAAATATTGTTTAATATTTCATCTCACTAGGATGAATTCTATATTTTATTCTACAATTATTTCCTATGATAAAAGAATCCAATTAGAGATAAATGTCTCCAAAAATGTTAACTGTTACTATTTTGAGGAGTTTATAAAATTTATTTGCCAGTGAAGTAATGGTTTTAAGATTGTTACTAGTTTCAACACTTGCTAATGGTATATTGATTGTTGTAATTAGTGTATTATGTAATACTTTTAATAATGTTATTATTCTAATTACAATTTACATTGTTTCTTATAGCCAACATGATATTATAATCTTAAAATTATACTTACTTCCAGGTATAAGTCAGTCATGAAATAAATATTTGGTTTAATTAATATGTTGTATTGTAAGGTCTGATATTCTTGTGTCTAATATTTTTTACTGTATTCTATTCAAGTATCAAGTTCTTACAAAGTTCACAAAATAAAATAAATCAGGAGGACAATGCCAGGTGTTGTGTGTAGTATGTTTGATCGATCGATGGATGATCCAACTCATACTGGTTTTAACTGGTTTATATGAGCGAGTGGACTCTCTCTGTTGGGATTACTGTGCGATTGTGTGCTTTCTGTCTTTGTCGAGGCTAGGGCTGTCACATTTTTTTCCATTTTAGTACTAAGTACTATCTATCATTATTTTTTAAACTTGTAAATTAATGGATTATCAGATATATAAAGTAGAGATGAAACGGATATCCGGTAACTATCCGGTAGGCCGGATATCCGGCCTAAATTTACTATCCGGCCGGATACCGGATAGTAACTCACTATCCGGCCGGATACCGGATATTAAAAAACTACGACATTTTCCTATTAATAAAATGAAATATATTAATCTTTGACGTAAATATCAATAAAATGGCTTATAATAATGAATGACGGCTTTTATTTAAAGTCCAAAAAGTTTTAAAAAAGCCATATTATTCAGGCCTCAAAAAAATATTATTTTTTTCTGGGCTAATCACTCTAATGACGAATACATAAATAGTAAACATTCGTTAATGTCGAAATATTGCCAAATAAAAAGGCGATCTTTTTTTGAGATTTCTGGTGACAATAATATGATGCATGCAGTTCAGTCAGATTACGCACCAAGTAAACTAATTTAATTTTCGCTATTCAATCACACACTCAGTATAGCAACCGAAATCACCTGAATTGATCTGCCCCCTAGACAAGTGGCAAAATCTGACATTTTATTCGGACGGATTCGATTTTCGAAAAGTGTGACTTGTCTAGTCTACTAATAGACCCACTGATCGCGTTCGAAGCACCTGTGCGGCGCTAAGCTAGTCACGATATGCAACGAGACAATGGGCCAACTATCCGGCCGCCGGATATCCGGCTATCCGGCCTAGCAGCTGGCCGGATATCCGGTATCCGGTATCCGGCCAAACAACTATCCGTTTCATCTCTAATATAAAGAGCTTTGTTAAACAAAAAACTGAAATTAAAATTGTCTAAATAAAAAACGGGAGGTTCGAGTTTGGTTTCAGTATTGTTTTTAAAGTTGACTGTACTTAGATAAAAATAAAAGTTAAGCCAACCTATCCAAATCTGTCATATAATTATTGACTTCATGTAAAGGTGCCATTGACTCTACTTTGCTCTAGAACAAATTTTAATGTTGACTAACACCCGATTCCCATATTCAATCCTTGTCCAAATCCGGATTACAACTGTCAAATTGAATTCAGTTTTAGATTATATTTCCAAATTTTTCGATACATTTACACTTTAATATTTATTTATTTATTTATATTAGGGAAACAAACAATTTTGATATACAGACAAATAATCACACAAAAAAATAGGACAGAAATCAGCAAAGTTTCCACAGTTAAAATTAATACAGAGTGCAGACTAAAAATTAATTAAATAGTAATAAATTATACATTAATTTCTAAATGTCAAATAAATACAATGTCAATTTTATAAAATGTCAAACAGTTAACACTGCAGTACACGCGCCCCGTTTTTTACACGAATACACGCGCGGCCTACTCTGGTAAGCCAATTTAAAATCACTGTAAATCAGTTTGTAAGCAATTTATGTATAGAATTACTATGTAAATGATAAAAGTGTTTATTATAGTTACTTTATAATCAAAGTTTATTTATATAACTATTTGGGATCAAACATTATAAACATATTAAAAAGTTGTGAATTTTTTGGACCAAAATTGCACTCTGAGACCAATATTAACAAAAAGCAATTGACTGAAAAAATATGATTTGTTTTTTATCTGTCATAGTATTCAAGACTTTCTACTGCCTGGTACACGGGGTAAATCCATTTGTTGCAAGTCTTTCATAATTTTTTTGTCGAGTGATTTCGGGATTTTGAGTAGACCCGCAGTTTTGACGGCCAATTTTAGAAAAGTGCGTAGACGCTAGTGACCCAACCTTTAATGGCTTACTGACAAATTTAGTAAACGAGGCTTTCCTGGAATGCCAGCTCTCTGGCGCAAGTTTTCAAAAAGTTATAGCGTAAAGTGTTACCCTGGTCTACTATAGTAGTCCGCGCGTGTACTCTAGTGTTAAATTTAATAAAAATTATAAAATGTCAAAAAGTTAAATATTAATAAAATTATATAAATTAAAAACACAATAATTATGTAGGTCAAAATTAAAATCAAGTTATATATTCAAACATTCTCTCAATTGTTTTTTATAAGATGGTAAGGAAGAATTAAAATATTGTTTAAATAGTCTTATAAACAATATAAAAATGTAAAAACATCAAAAACCGCAGTTATTTTGGCCAAAAACATATTAAAATTTGACAGTTGACAATCCAAATCCGTATAATTTGGATTAGGATTGAATATAAAAATCCAGCATAAAACGTTTCTGTAGGAGTTCCTATAGTATTTTGTTGATAATCCAAAATCAACCTATTGTTATCTAAGTAATGCCTCTGTCAATTTTACCATATCACTGAGTCAACACTTATTAATGAAATGTACTACTGTGACTTATAATATTTAACTAAACAAAGAAACATCTTAATCTCTTGTTACTACTGTATATTGTATTCAAAGTTTGCTCTTGCATTGATGTTGACTGTGTAATATACCTCCTTAAAGCATTACTGTTATCTGTAGTTAATTTTATATTTTACAAAACCTATTATCCTCATATCAACATTTGCCTGTATTTTTCCAGTATTCAATAATAATACATTACAGTACAGATTAATTTAGCTCTTTTTAGTCAAAGTAATACATCCATCATCATTACACAATTATTCCAATTCTATCTTTTTTGCGAAAGAAAAGAAGCTCGCGATCGGAATTCTTGCACGAAACATAGAATTGTCCTTTAATACAAAAAGTTAGACTCTAGTTGAACTTTAGTTTTGTAGTAAGGCCTATTATGTTAGCTGTTTTTTTTCTCTATAGTCATCACTATAGAAGACCAGAAGGTCAACACTTTCTCACACGCCCGAATTCTCTACATCATATTAACTGCTCAAATCCTGAACCTTAAAAAAATCAGCATAATGTTATGGTGTCACACACCGCACGTTACTCGCTGCACGTGCACGCTCTTGCCTCACTTCCACAATCTACACGTCTTTTTTCCACCCCTAGCAGTTCCGACCTGCCTCAACAGCCGACTGAAACTGGTTACAATTACCACAAGCGGTTAAAAGTTTACAAAACACGAGGTGTTAAGATCGAGTTGCGCCGGCGCAGACCGTAGTGTGCCTGCCACTCGCGGTGCGGTCAGGCTTCACTGACTTCTGATTTAAAAGTGTGCTAGTTAATTTTTATTTTAAAGGTACTGTTAATTTCAAGTTCAGTTTTGTGTGGAAACCCTAACTGCTTGAGAGTTGAAGAGTTCGGCAACTCGACTACCAAGTTAGCTGCAGTCAAATTTATGGGTTCATCAGCTTCTAGCGAAGTAAGTTTCGTGTGAAATAGACAATCGAGCGTCTGAAAGGTACTAAGGCGGAGTCTTGGTAGAAGTCCTGCTTAATCGGAAAAAGGAAAGCAGAGCGCTTACTCTAAACTTTACGTTACAGTTGTCGAACGATTCGGTAAAAAACGTGTGACAATAAACTTAACGGAATGGTTCTGAAAGACGAGCCAGGGCTGCAGGAGTGGCAAGATATTAAAATGTGTCCTGGATTGAAATAAAACATTCGCCTACAATTGCTTTTTCTGTGGTTCTTCCACCGTTCAGTTGGGTAGAGCCCCACGTAACTCCTACACTAGCTGTCCCCATGTGTATGCAGTTTAATGTGTTTTCCTAGCTGGTGCAGAAGTAGGATCATGGAATTAGAGATTCAAAACTATATTATGCACTGTAGAGTGCATAACATAGTTTTCTGCATCAGAGATCTGTAATATCTTTTAGATAGAGCAGTTTTTGGTTTAACGAAGTTGCGGAAAATC